GCAGTGCTACAGTATATGGACACATAGAAGAATTACTTGCAAAGCCATGTTCTGGAGCAGTTTTAGCTTTATAGTGGTTTTTGAGGGCAGCTCCATGTAGAGCATATTGCAATAATCCAGATAGGAACAAGACAGGCTTGACTTGTGAAGTATGGCTACAACCATCTTAAAGTAGAAGTCATGAGTCCAGAAGGACTTCAAAATTGTGTACCGGTTCAGTCAGGAATAATGTAGCCCCATTCAGAACCAAAGATTCAAAGTCCCTAAGCTCAGATATAGTCCCCAAATAGCTTGAGCCTGGTTTCCCACATCCAGATCCCTACTATACAGATACCATGACAGAATGTTGGTGGTATTTGGACAGCCAAGGATTGAAATGTATAATTTGCTAATACCATGCCAATGAATGACTGTGCAGCAGTCTCAAAATGTTAAACAGAACACCAAGTGCTGAAACAACCTACAGAGTAGAGGCTACGGCTGGATCTCTCCTCCTCATCAACTCTGGAGGAAATTGGAGACTGATTACATTGTGCCCCTCCCCTTGCAAATCATCATAGACAGTATCAAAAGCAACCAAGAGATCTAAGAAGGCCAGGATGGATGTGCTGGTCATATCGCATCTCAGCACTGTTTCAGTACAGTGCCTAAAACTCATCCTGACTGAAGGGGTTCAGATAATCCACTTCTTCCTTGTGAAGCAGCAAAACAATCACCTTCTTAATAGAAGGTTGGAGATAAAACAAAGTATTCATTACCATAAAGTCCAGTGATGGCTACTTGAGGAAGTGACAGGCAACTGCTTCTTTAATTCAACCTTAAGCTGAGGTGTAACTGCCCCCTCCCTCCATTTATTACCACTTGGTCCCATATACATATTGTTTCCCAGGAGGCACTGATAAACCAGGAAGAATATGGATTTAATGCACAGGTGGCTGCACTCACAGCTTCAAGGATACTGTTCATTTCATCAGGTTCCAACTCTTCCCAAATAACCTAGTTAGCAGTCAGTTTATCAGACTGCATTGGTGGAATTCAAATAATAGTTAATCCAAGTGACTTTATCCAATGGATACCTTGAACGGTCCTTTTAGCAGTCCTTCAGATGGTTCTCTGAACTGTATTCCTCCCTAACAGAGATTAGGTCACCTTAAGGTGTTTATTAGTTGTTTGAATATTTTTGTCATGGCTAAGCAAAAGATTGTTCATTACAGAATTTTGTAATCTTTAGATAGTCTTAATAAACAAATGCTCTGAAATAGGAAATTAAATAACTTTATAAAAGTTGGGTGGAAAGGTATGTATATTTATTTTAAAAGTTCATAGTAATTAGAATTTTTAAAGATGCTGAAGATTAGCTCATCTTCCAGTATCTCTGATGTGAAGGCTCTCTGATAAAGAATTTTATTTTTTTCTCATGTACAAGAGAGAAAACAAGCAAGTTTATTTCTTCAAGCAAGAATCTGTTTTACTGTAAATGTCAAGTACAATCAAACTTTCCAAAATGCCAAAAGGAAGATGGCCTTTCAATCTCATAAGTTCTCATGGTAATAAGCATGAAAATTAATATATTGGCAACGTAAGAATTAAATAATACTTAAAGCAAAGTTCATGCTATCCAGTGTATAATATGTGATGTTGAAGCTAAAAATACTATTTATTGAGGTTGCAACTGTTTCCTCAGTAACTTGAGCAAAGATACAAATCTTGCTGACATCATGTTTACTTGTGTAAAGACAGAAAGCTGAAAAGCTGTAAAGTTATAAAGCTGAAGGGAGGCATAATAATGAATGCAAGATTTAATTATTTCCTCTCAACTCCTTTAATATTTGCCTGGAGGAGGTTGGATTTAATGCTTGTCAGTTCAAATATAATACTGTACTACTTCTCCTTCTTCTCTTCCCTTTTTTGTTTTGATTTATGGTAAAATTAGTGATCTCTGATGCTCCTTAGTTACAATGCTGGATCTACTTGGAAAAGCTAACTAATTGGCTGCTACAAAGATGTAAAAATAATTGTTACATAAATTGGACCAAGGCTCAAAAGTTGATATAACTTATAATGGCGTTGTTCACACCAGATTTTTCAGTCCTATATTGTGCTGCTTTCTTTTTCATCAGAGGATATTCAAGTAATAAAATTAGAGTATGGTAGAGTATGGACCTGCATAGTTAGTATTCTGAAAGGATTATAATTATGTCTAGTATTTTTTGCACTTTCCCCTCTGGAGTTTTCCTTTTAGGTTCTTTATTTTCAAATTCATAACCTATCATTCTTGAGATATTTTAATATCCAAATCCCTTTAGATATGGGGAACAAGTATTGTGGGGTGATTAAGAGAATAAGCTGTAGAGTTAATCTCAACTATAAAATTGTCACATGGCCTTTAATTTTCACCTCAGCCATAAACTAGTTAGTTGATCTTTTTAGTATTTATGGATTTCTTATGGTTTCTTAAGGAAATATCTCCATAAGTAATATTAAACAATTACAACAATATTTTACTCTGTATGCCTGCAATGTTGTACCTGCTTACTTGAGAGTAACTTATATTTAACTTGTTTTTGAATAAATAATTATAGGTTAGAGAGAAAAAAATGTAAATTGCAGCACCACGGTTCTTTCTTTCCGTGATCATTTCTCTTTTCAAATGTTTAATGCATACCTTTTGAATAAGAAGTTCATAAACATCTAGAAGTTAGTGAAGAAATGATTAATGGAGCAGAATAAACATCCTTGCGACTGATAGATTATAATCCAACTTTAGCCAACATATCATCTCCAGATAGCTTGGGATTTCAATTTATTACACTTTCATGGCTAAACCAATGTATGTTTCAATGGGATGTAAAACCTACTATAATTTCAGGCCTGTTGTAGGACTCAGCAGAACATGATGAAGTTTATTTACTTTTTTTTGTTACCACAATTTGCTACCTATTTTTTTAATTCAAAAGGACAGGTTGATGATCTAAGGTCTATCCTAGGTAGCTTATCAAGACAGAAGTGACAACTTCTTTTTGCACTTGATGGCACTTCTTGTTCTCAGATTCAAAACTTAGGTATTTCTCCAGATTGAAGGCCTTGTAAAAAAGCAAGGAAGGCTCTGTATCCTCTGGATCATACATACTGCACTCAGTATCATCTCTATTGACTCTCCAATGTTGAAAAAGTTCAGCTGCCAATTGTGCCATCTTCCATATGCAAAAGGAAGATGGGTGCATTTTGATTCAACATCTTTGGAGACAAGATTTTTTCAAGCAGTTTGATGTCATGATACATACAAGTATATACAAAATTGTTTTCTTGGAAGAAGAGATCCCGCATAAAATTTTATCATGTGCTGAGATGGACAGGCTTACAATGATTATGAAAGACAAGACAGAACACGAATACTTCGAAATCTGGGACAAATTTTACCGTTGGTATGAATTAAGGAGAACTGTTCGGACTTCAAGTTAATGGTAGAATTAAAAGATATATATAACTGTACATATAATTGTATATATAATTGTATTGTATAGAAGGATGAGGCTTATATAGAGGTTAAGAACGATGTATTAAGTTTATGTACCATGAGAAACAAACTGTTAGGAAAATTCATTCTGGAATGTCATGTTTGTCCATTTTTGTTTTAATTGTATTATGAATAAAAAAAATTTAAAAAAATTGTTTTCTATACATATATCAGAAAAAGTACATGCTAATCTACTTGCATAATAAGCATATTTAACCCAAAGAACTCCAGGATTCTTGCCCAGTAAATGTAAGGAATAAAATGCTATTTCTATCTATAATCATTCTGGCTGTATTTACTCTTAGAATTTCTGACAAAAGATAAAAATGGGTATATCTTGTGTGCTTCTTAGTGAATTTCTAAACTGAATACTATATACTATACATATTGCTGCAAAGTTTTGGGTAAATGCCTGTGTAATTCGTATATCATTTTCAAAACCCAATTCATCTAAAATCCTCAATAATCTTCTATAAACTTTGTTTTTTCCCCTGTGTTTCTTTATATGACATAAACATCCCTTTTTAAAAGAACTATAGAAGGAATTTCCTAGCAGCAAAATCCCTTGAGCAGCAAAGTCCCTTGAGCATTAATTATGCTGCTTGCCAAGATATACAGGATGGTTTGTTGGTCTTTGGAAGGAATGAGTATAGAAAAGAAAATACTCCTGCCATCACAGAACTGTAAGTAAGAGATACATACAAAGGGAACACTACTGTCAATATCCTTTTTATTCTATATTGAAGAAAACACTTAAGCCCTAATACCATATTGTTGAATAGCCAAATATAAAGAGTAGTAAAAGCAAACAAACACATTGAGCACTTTCAGCATGCTCTAGATCTTTAATAATTATCTTTTTCTTAAGTCCCAGACATTCATCCCAACATCTTTCAAATAAAATTCAATTTAAAGTTTAAAGAAAATGAGTAAAATAAGATATTATATAACCATTTTTGCAGAATATGGCTGAAGTACAATTGCTGCATCTCTCTCCATCAGCTATGCTGGCTAGGTGCTAAAACTGTAATTTAATATTATCTGGTAGGCTATTAATTCCACACTTCCAAAAAGAATCCAGTAGCACGACTTGTCTCCTTCAAATTAGGTCCTGAAGAATTAAGAGCAAAATCTTGTTCCATAAATAAAAATTCACTTGTGCAACAATTGAACGCTGATCATAAAAACATTGGGAGGGAAAAAGCTGGAAATTTTTGGCTAACAGATTGCCACTGAAATTGTAATTCTTTACTCGTCCGAAGCTGTAGCTATAAGAAATCCAAGATTCTCCTCCTCACCATCATTATTCACCCATGCAAATCTTTTAAAAGTATTTTCATCATAAGAATAAAATTATAAATTTCCCTGTTTATTAATTCATCTGGAAATGTTTAAGTTCTAACAGAGTTTCAATCTGATTGGAGAGTCATTACATCTGTCAATACTGCTGGTGACCATACTTTTTGAGATAATCGTGTCATTCTGATGTTAGAAATCTTAGATATTATTGTTAAAAAATATGTATCTCCATACCTCTTTTTTCTAAATTAAACTAAGAAATAATTCTGCTGGAATAGGGAAAAATGTATCTTGGTCAGTGCAAACAGCAAGAGGGGAGACTCAATTAATTATTTTTAAAAATTCTTTTTAATGAAGAAATAATTCCATTCCAAAATATAGACACACAATTAAATAGTTTAATCACTTCAAAATATGTCCCCAGTAGGCTTAACACACACGCACACACACACAAAACAATACTTAACAGCAATACAAAAAACCCCATACAATAATAGTTCTGTTTACAATACCAATGGACAATGTAAAATTTGCAGTGTGTCTGTTCAGACTGGTGTGAAATAACAGTAGTTAAAAACATCAGACAGTTAGTAGCTTCAAGATGTAATTCTTCATACTTTTTGGTTCACAAATAAATTCCTGTCTTGTCATTCAAGGCTCTGGCACTGAATTGAACCAACCTAACTGCTGCAACCTGCAGTTGTGGTATTTACAAGATATATCTACAGCAATTCCAAGGAACTTATAAGAATGGAGGAAAGTGGCTAAAGTAAAAGACAGACATCTGTGCTAAATAATGATGCAACATTTTTTCTCATGCATATAAGAAAATACATATTATCACAACAAAGGCCACACACCTTTTAATGCAGTTTTAAAGTTAACATTACTACTTACAGAGATTCTATCCTCTCTTTTCTTTCAACATTCAAGAATCCTGCTATTTTCACATTCTAATTCTTGCCTCTTAATGATCTTTCCATTAACAATCTACAAGAAGTTTTAGGCTATAGTAATTAGCCATGAAAAATGATAAATGGCTATTTCAACCATTCCAGTAACTTTGAAGTTCACCATCCAAACATGTTTAGCAAACAAAGACTGTATGGGCTAAAACATTGGCCCATTTGAGACAAAACTCTCACTCAACTTTCTTTACATGCTTGCTTCATTGTGCATGGAAAGGTATGTCTGTAACACTAGCTTTGGGCCTAGATTCCTTGAGCATGCAAGTTGATGTATATCTGAATAAGGACATCCGCATAATATCCTATTCCGTTAGGAATAGACAAAATAGACAAAATACAGAAACAGATGATCTGATTAAGGCCTTTGTTAGTGAAGTCTTATGCAAGCATTTCTTTATTCAAATGTTATACTCACACATTGGTTAATGGCCCAGGAGGTTGAGTTGCTCTGTTAGATCATGACAGTTTTGTTTCCCAGATGCTGGATAGAAATCAGAGGAAAGTATTGTCTATGCTGAGCCACTGTCAGCTTAACACTGATTGATGTAGCAAATGTAGGTTTTGATTTTGGAGGCAAATGAAAAAGTGCTTTAACTTAGACTTCCAGAGTATAAGAGGCCACCTAGAGCTCTGCTTTGAGGAATCTGTGCTGAAACCAGACTGAGAGAATGGTGCATATGTTGTGATGACGGTACATTTTGCACAGATTTTCAAAGTTTAGATTTATGCATGAGCTTTACATGCAATATGGATGTGTAAATTAAGGACTATATTAGAGAAACACAATCACTACTCTAACTGTATCTAGCTGGGTTTAGATCTTTTTCATAAAATTTTGCTTCTCTTTAGGAAATACTTGGCTGGAGTCCTGAGCTGTCAGCAAGAATTGCCAATATACTGTCTAGTATTAACTGATGTGTGCTAGGCACTAGTAGAGAGTAACCAGTTCCTGAGAGAAGGGCATAGGAGAGGTAAGTTGTCAAAAGTTATGTATCCACCATGTGAAAATGGTAGACATTACAGGAGTAAAGAGTAATTATTGCGAAGGTGGGGTTTCTGGGGTGTCTCTATGTAAACATTTTTTAAAATAATTTTCTGCAATTCTCTAAATGCTGTGATTTGTCTACATAGAGACAATATTGAGAAAGACACAAGAAGGAAGATGCCAGGAATAACAATTATTTTGTGCATGAGTGAGAAAGTAGCTAGAGTTATTTAATTCATGTATCTTTCATCTGAAGCATGTCCCTTGTAGAATCAACAGAAAGATTCCTCTTTTAATTTGGACAGTACAATATATAAGCAAGTTTAAGGAGTTATTATTATTTTTTTAACAATAACTTTGGATTTACATATTTGAGCTATTCTAAATTCATGCTTAATGATAGAATTGTTGCATCATTAATAAACATTGCCCTAAACACCTAACAATTTCTAAATCATTTGCTGTTTTCCTCAGGGCTAAAATTTGCTTGTAACTAATTTACTGTATAGGGAAAATAAGATTGCAAAGTATCTTTTCCATTTATAATCCTCAGGGGAGCAGCCTCCTATTATTTTTAAATAGCGTATTAAGATTTACTCAAAAGAGATACTGCTATAATTACATAAAGTATTTTTTTCTTTTTAGAAAGGACACATCCCCCCCGCCATGTGCTTTTCATATTTAGCAGTTTACCCCATTTGGCCCCTGAAGAAAGTCTCTCTACTCATTCCAGGAGTGTCCAAAGGGTAAGATTAAAAAAAAAGCAAAATGGCAGCCATGATAATGTGATAAAAGCTCTGCCTGTTTATGTACATTGCAAGATGTGCATGGCAGCCATCTTGATTTTTTGACAATACCCTGCAAATACCCCTGGCCCATTTCCAAGAACGCACACAAAACAACTGATGGTTGACTAAGGCAATGCACATTCAAAAATAAGAGAAGAAAGCAAGCAATCTTTTAAGGTCTGTACATTTAAAGCTGAAGGCCTCAACCAACAAGATATGAAAGATGGAGATAATGTGAAAGAAAGTTCTAAAACTGCAACAAAATAATACAATGAAGATTATACAATTAGTTTAGGGATTTTATGGCACCTGTGGTTTATAAACAGCTTTAGTAACGAGTATTTCAAAACATAGTTCACAGTTTTAAGAAGATCTGTACTGATTTTAAAAACTAGATTCTATATAATTTGAATGTTGTCTTTTGTATATGATTTCTATTTGGAAAGAAAATATTTACACTAACTTCTATGGCTGATTTGTTAGATTATATTTTGAAAGAAAACATTCGTTAAGTTATGTAGTAGCCCTAAGTCATAGAGATACTTCTTAGTGCATTTTGTACAAGTTTGTTTTTAAATTTTCATGTATTTATTTTGCAGTAATATTAAAAACAAATTGCTATCCAAAGATGCAATATTGTAATATCAACATGTGTGCAATTCCTAGTAGTATCTGTAAGAATTCTGCAAGTATGTTTGGGTTCAGTATTGCAACTATAGTTCATTTTTGGGCTATAAATATGTACACACAGGAGTATATTTATTCAATGATAAATGTATCATTATACTTTTAAAATTCCCTCCATGGAAAAACAATATACAGTGTGTATGAAAATGTTCTAAAACCTCAAATTATTTGGAAATCAAACTTCTAATATAAACAGTACTGTCATTGTAAACTGAACAGGTTTAAAAGTATGTGCAAAGGGTTTGTATTTTGTTAGTATATCCAGTGTTCTTCATCAATAATAAGCCATGTTACATATGATGTAGCTGATATAATTTAGCTTTAAATAAAAATCATGGTTTTTTAATCTTCAAAAATAAAACACCTACAAACTAGAACTTGGGAAACAAAATAATTGTGCTACAGTCTGGAGACCTAGTTGGTTAGTGAGGCTGCACTTGATTTTTCACTTCTTCGTTGAAGCTGGCAGCTAGGCTATCTTTGTCATTAGTCTGAGTGTTGTCTTCCTCCTCTTCCTCCTCTTCCTTCTTCTCCTTCCCCTCTTCAGTTTTTACATCACTTTCATTATCCATTGGACTGCAGCTTTCCTGTCAAGAAATGTTTTAATACTATTTATCACATTTCATAGAAGCATACCTTCTGTTTAGGCTTCCATTTAGGCATTGTGCAAATGTGGAATACTCACCATGTGAACATTCCTGATAAGTCCTCCCACTGTTTCTCAGATTAGGCTAGCTTCCTGCAGACACCTGATTGGACTTGTCTTAGTCACATTTTACTCTGCTCTTTACTCTTACATTTTTAGCTCTGCATATGCTAGCTTTCAGGATAGGTTAATCTTAACTTTCTGTTCTGAATGCACAGTTTTTAACATATGAGTTGTTTAAAATAACAAGAAACACTTGAATACTATTGGCATTGACAAAATCATGATCAATCAATTGCAAAATGCTATTTATTTGGAACAGTTTACACCCTGCAACAGTACAGGGTTGCACCATCAAACAATATCTGCCTATCCCAGATCTTTGGAAAGGACTTGATAGGTGGAGAAAAATGCCATATCGAATCTAAGCATCTGTGACCATCCATAATTATATTGGCTCAAAACATTCTTATGCTATGTTACAAAATATTACTTTGAAAAGTGTAGACACTAATACATGATGATCCACATGCAACTCATTTGCATCCAGAAAGTAGATTTATAAACTAAATCAGTAAATTCTAGTTTGGAGAGTTATGTTTCATATCATTCTTTCCAAAGGTGTTGTTCATTCCATCCAGAAGCAAAGAGTGATTCATATTAGAGCTCCATAAAAATAAACCATGTTGCCTACAATCCTCTCAACAGCTTTCCCACTGCTCCGTAATAGGAACATATTCTCATTTGACAGTTACAGTTAGAATTACAAAATGATTATGGTATATTATAATGTATTGGTGAAGAGAAAATGTGGCCAGCTTCTTTGCTTCCCCCCTGCCTCCATGCACTCCAATCAGCACAATTGCTGAATGAAACTGATTGATACCAGTTTTAAACCAACTTAAAACTTACTTGAGAGGAGAGTGATACAAGGATGGTTACTCATCCTTGTAAGCTGACCTGTAAAAAAAGAAAGTAAAAACAGAAAATGTGAGCAGCCAAATCAGTGCACCAATGGGACTCAAGAGAAGTGAGAAGTGTCATATGGGCATGCAAGAATAGTACACACCAAATGAAGAGGTTAACATGCAAGAAGAAACTGTGAGAAGGTTATTGCTGCAGAAAATGCTAGAAAGGATGAAGATTCAATTTGTTATTTTGAATAAAAATGGCATTTGCTACAAGGGCCAACAAAACAGAGAAAGAAGATTGTCTTGTAAGTCATTTCTAAATACTTTAGGCAGTTATGGGCAATCATTTCTCATTTGTATTTGTAACTTTTACAATATACTTTTTTAAAGGATATGTATAAATGGTCTTAAAACTACAAATTTTCAACAGCATTTAAAAGTACTTCCTAAGGTAGAGTTAATTTGCTCATTAATCAGTATTTCTTACATATAGTGAAACAGAAAACACATTCCTATATTGATCAGTGCTTTGATCTCTTTAACATTTCTTGTACATATAATCTATATTTGCCAATAAATAAGCATAATGTAGGCAGATTATCTGCTGATTTACTTGGAAGTGACATTTCAACAAACTATACCAAGAACTTTACACTTTAGACTGATATCTATTATGTCAAAATAATGGTAGGCAGAGATAGCCATCTTTTTAAATTACTAGAATTTTTTAAAATACTAGAAAATTACTAGAAAAATAATTTAGTTATAATTATACTGTTATAATTACAAAAGGCCATGCTGCTTGGATCCACACCTATACTATGCTGATACTTTACGACATCCTAAGGTCTTGAGAAGAACTTGGTGAATATGATGGCTTGTAGCAGCTAAAGACCTGGCAGCTGTGATTGCATACTGTTGTTCATATATTTGTGAAATAGGCTGTATAATTACATCAGAGCAATTGTGCTATCAGTGACTCATATCTTCTACCACTGTTGTCAGGAGTTACGCTATTACTAGTATCTGATGCAGTTTCTATGGACTTTGTGAACTAGATCACTGTTTTTTTATGTCTTTGCCCACGTTGAGAGAGCATAAGATTCCTACTACTATCAGTTTATACTAGTGGTAGCTCTCTTGGGGGGGGGGAATAGAATTGAACTAACCTCCTTTGCTTACTTGCATGATAGATAATTAGGTTTTAATTTAAAATTATTTATTTTGCTGAAGAAAAGATACTGTATCTGAGATGATTTTGAATAAGATGAAAGTTCTACCTTTGGAGAGTCTCTTGATGGCTTATTCACACATGCAAATTACCACTTCCTTTCACAGTATAAAAATGCCAAGAATGCATGTGTGAACACCCACCTACTCTCAAAGTGATTTTGTGAAAATAGAATAGCACACTGTTGACAGAGTATGTTACTAGCATTTGTGATGCACCAACTAACAGCTTGTGAAGGTTAATGTCAATCTATTAATTTCAGTACAAAAAGTACTTCCTGATTATTCACAGAAACATGAGTGCATCTAACTATTATTTGGAGTCTACACTCTTATCACTATATTCTTCCAATTGAAATAAAATCTAGGACAGTGAAATTTCTTTCATCTATGTAATTTTGTTGAGTTCTTATCTTATTTTTACCTGATAAGCTTCATCTTGCAGTTTCTGCTTCAAATATTCCTCCATCTTGAGTTCATTCTCTAGTTGGCGGACAGAATCATTTTCGTAGTTCTCATCATCAGCTCTAACATAAGCATCTCCATCCTCTGTAACCCTAAACACAATTATTAATAAATAGGGTTGTGCAATTACTGCCTGACCTACTTTGTACTCAGATACTCCTATCTGAAAGCAGTTAAGTTCCATCTGTTAGTCTAAGTTTGCAGTGGTGGTGGTGGGCAGAGTATACAGCCCACACTGAGTCATTTATATTGTGGAATGTGAGTATAGAAAAATGAAGTATCTTTTTTCATAATTTAACTTTTGTAAAACAGATTGCCTAGGAGGGCCTTTTTGAAAATCAGAATAGAATGGAAATGGCAGAAAAGTCAGGGAAGATTCAAGGATTGTGGTAGCTTTACAGTGGCTTTTGTGAGTTCCCACAGAATGAATTCTATGCTGATTGTGATTTTATACTGATTATGGTAGCTTTCCTATGTTTGCATATTATTTTTTAAATTTTCTGTTGTTTTTTACTTCTTATGAGCCTCTCAGAATGGCTTAGATGAGATGGGCAGCCATATACATCGATTAAATAATAATGGTAATATGCAGAATTCTGTATTTCAGAAAATTATTAATTATCTGGTGGACTGCCAGTTTGGTATATTGTGGTAAATACCAGAATGTTTGGTGTCCAGAACTGAGAGTTATACTCTCTTACATCCTGTAAAAGCACTTCTTAATATTTTTCCTTTTCAGTAGAATGGCATGAAACATGCAGAACAAACTCAACTGTTATCAGAGAAGAATGCAGGCCAATTTTAGATTACATCGGTGTTTCTCAATCTGAGGAATTTAGATATGTGGACCAACTCCCAGAATTCCCCAGGCAGCCAAGTCCACACATTTTAAAGTTTGTTACATTGAGCAAAACTGAATTACATGATCCTTTTGACTTGCAGTATCTGCTTGATTTGCAATGTTTCCAGAACATGATTGCCAGGCAATAATCTTAGCCCTTCTCCACTCTTTCCATACTGTATTTGTTTCCTGACATTGCTTAATTTACCAATATACCCTAACTCCCCCCCACATCTATCCATTAGGGTACAATTAAAAAAAAAAAACCAAATAGGAAGAAAGATATATATTATACTAAATATATTATATTTTAGATTATTACTTATTAAAATGTTTAAATCATTTATTAAAATTAATTGTTGGGGGAATAAATGTACAAAGGGCTAATACAATTGAAAAAAAATACTGTCCTTTAAAAAAAGATTGGAATATAATATTCTAGTAAAGGGGAAAAAGCTCCCATTATATACTTGAAGAGGAATAGTTCCAATTGGATTCTGTAATAATTCCTTTCTATCAGTCATTTGCAGAGTTCAGCAAAAACAACGGGAAGAGATCTTCCTGAACCATTCTACGACAGACTAAAATTTGAACTTGCGTCAGTAAAAACTTGATATTTTATTTTTATGGAGTATGAAGTAAGTTAGCAAAAAATAATATTTATTTAAAAGATTTATATGGCTGCCCGTTTTTTTGAAACACAACTAACTAACTACAATAATAAAAGTATAACAATAGAACAATTCAACAAACAAGAAAATAAATAAATGTGCAATCAACAATGCCAGCTCTTAATTGCTTTCCAGAAAGTTAAGAGCATGGGAGCTTGCTAGATCTCCAGGGGGAGAGCAATCCATAGGGCAGAGGTCACTATTAAAAATGAAGACCAAATGATAAAGTCACTTTCACTTTATTGTCCTGTTCATCTGGATCATACTGACATCTGAAGCAATGACTTCAAAAGATACTTAAATTTCATTTGGTTGTTTGGTATAATGTTCCACTGTGGATCAAGATCTTTTCAAGATCTCTGCATCTTATAACTTTGGACACAGATAGATCATACACTCAGATCCTAAATTTACATCTAAAATCACAGCAGTATCCTGATCTTCAACAGAAAAAAGTCTATTCTTCTCAAAGGAAATAAAAAACTGCACCCAATTTTGGCATATTTTCTGAAATGCCCCTTTGAATGGATTCAAATAATGTTACTAAAAGAGATTTGGTTGTTCTTTGGTATATATTAATTATCAACAACTATCAACCTGAGTTGAAATATAAAAATCACTGCAAATTGTTTTTCTCCACAAAATTTTATGAGAGTTTTATATTGTGGTTCAAAAGTCACCCTTTATTGCTATCATTGTCTTAATCTTTAGTTTAAAAAGCATCCCAATATTAAATGGAAACTTAATTTTAAAGCTTTGAGTGCCCCATTGAAGTCAAGAAAAAGATAGAAATCAAAGAGAAGACAAAACAGGATGGAGTACCCACAGGTCACTGCGAATGGTTCCAGTAGCAGCTACATTGTGAAGATATCCTGGCTTCCGGGCATGGATTTGTGCCAGGAAAGCCTTTTCAGAAGTTGGTGATGGAACAAGATCATCAAAATGAGTCCGACCAAACTCTGAATCCACATTACTTTCTGTCTCACTTCCAACTTCTGTATGAAGAAATAGGTTGGTATGATAATTATATCTTTCTCTCCTATTTCTAGCATGCTTCTTTCCTGTTTTTATTTTTAGCATACTGTACATTGCCATCTTATATTGCTAAAGAAACACCATATTGTCTACATTAAAAAAAACATGCAGAACTCTCACTTTTGTACAGTTTAAACTTGCCATTTATTATATAACTTGCCATACACAGACAAATAAAGCTTTGATGCCAAGTGGGGTGATTCAATGTACTCTGTCTCCCTAAATTAATCAGGGAATATTCTAATGACCGGGTAAGCTATTAAGCAAGGAAATAATAGCTAGTCACATCACTGGATTGCCTCCTATTACAGTATTGATGCATGAACCCATGGACAGTATTGTTGTATAAAGAAACTAAACAGCATTGACCTTCTGTTTAGCAAGAACACACATTGCTGCATTTGAATTCATTTAAGTTAGTTCAATTATCTTCAGTGAGATTTAATTTTTTAAATATTTCAGTAGCACCTGTTATTACAAGAGATACCAAGGCTATACTCTACATAAATATAATAAGGCAAACAAACTCTTATTCAATAGCCATAAAAATTAACAAAAATCCAGGTATTTAAAAAGCACTGAAAAGAAATAAATTTCACAAATTAAAATGCTGGACTAAGAAGGAATATTGTCCTGAAAAGACTGTAAATCAGTAGTTCAAACTGTTAAACTAGTAATTTAAAAATATTTTGCAGCACTTTTTTCTAGATTGCAGCTTGTCTTTAGACTATATATTAAACCAGTATAAAACACTTATGCTTTAAATCATCAGACCTGAGTTTAACTCTTTCACCAGAGAAGACATGGTATTGGTGATTGAATCAGCAGCTACCAACAAGTCATTTCTTAAATTTCTTCTTGTACCTAATCAATAAAAAAGCAAAGTGCAAAATATTTTTAGCAATGTTTTGAGTTTTTTCTGTACATTGTGTACAGTTAACAAGGTAAAATAATAAATGATACAAAACTCAACTAAGAAAACAATTTAAAATGTATGAATTTTAAAAATCTGTTTAGGTAATTTTTACAGTAGCATAACCTCTGATTACCTGCACTACACATGTATTAATTTCTTTATGACCTCTGCAGAATAGATAGGCTTTAATAAGAGTAATTAGTTTGAAACTGGTATACTTTTTTTAGGCAGTGTAGTGCTTCCATATCAAGTTTTAAGTACTGCAATATATGGACAGCATCGGATGGGAGAAAGTTAGATTGGGGTTATAGAAAAATTCTGTCTGAATTCTGTGCTTTCTTCATGAAAAATTAAAGAGAAATTACTTATCAAACCAAGTGAATTATGCTAGAGTAGAGTAAAAACTGTTGGTTTCAGTTCTAAGATGTTTTGCGTTTTTGAAATTATAATAGTCTGAGATAGACAGCATGAAAATTATACCCAACAGCTTGGCCTCTGAAATACTTGGAGCCATATTATAATAGGACCTTAGAAGCCAATGTAGAAGCCTCGGGACTGTCGAGCAGTTGGCACAAAGAACAATAACTACAAAGCACAGCTTATAATAGCACATTATAAATAAGTACAATTGCTATTGTCTGAGAATAAAATGCATTTATAAGTACATTTGCCAATAAAAGGTACTGTATCTGTTGCAGATAATTTAGAAAGCTGGCTATTACATTGGAATATTTTTTTTCTCCTATTATTTTATTATGCAGCAATAAAAACTAATGTTATTTTTTTCATTTCTGCTCCAGTCTGTCATGAATTTTCCTCTGATGCTGCTTGTCCCAAACATAATCTCTGAATTACTTGATTATTTATTTTAAGAAAAACTCTTTTTAGAGAGTTTAATACATGGGTGTCAAACTTGCTGTGTCACGTGACATGTCGCAACGTATCATGATTTTTTTTGCATTGCCGGAGATGGGGTGGGTGTGGCCTCCGGCAGTTTGACACCCCTGGTTTAAATAGATATGCCATGAGGAAAGAAGCTATGGATCATCAATTTTTCGATAGAGGACGGTTTGTACCATTACCTTGCGCAAAAGCTTCTTGCACATCTCCTCCCACCCCTGTCAGAGAATCTTGTGGTGTGTGGGCTGGAGTTGAGCTGGCAGATGCAGATCTGATAGGCATTGGAATTGGCCGACTGATCGTGTGGCTGGGAGATGAGCGAGGAGAGCCTGCCCCTTGGGTCTAGGGGGAAAAGGAAGCCATGAGTGGTTCAGGATGAAGTGGAGAAGAAGACACTTCTGCCTCACCATCTCCAATTATATCTCTGCTGTAAAAATGATGAGAATATGCCCATGTTGGATAGTGTTACCATCCTGATGGAAAATGAATGGATCAATATGCTGTTAGTTCCTAGAACCAAAAGTACATACGCTAAAACAGAGATGATCAGAAACAAAGGAAAAAAGGATTGGTGAACTTGCTCAGAGTCTTAAAGATCACATTCACATATTAATTTAAATTATCCCAGCTGCAATTGCAAAAATGTATTTCTTTTTGATGTTTTCTTTTTCCAGTTGCCTGAAAGTTAAACAACAACAAAAAGACAAATCAAGTAGTAATTATATTTTTCTTTTGTTTTAATTATCTGGCAGCAGCAATGGAGAAAACTGTTGGACACCACCACACTGTTGAGTCATGACAGAAGAGGTATTGAATTCTTTGGCTTATATTATGTTAGAACTTAGAGCTGGCTGGTGGAAGCTAGAATAACTTGGTCCAAACTTCCCAAGTAAGAGGAAGGTAAAAAAAAAAAAAAAAAAAAAAAAGGCAAATGTAGTAAGAAAAAAGTAAAGTTGTGTCACAAGGATGTTTTTATTACTTTCCATGGAACCGAATGTTTCTATGTCATCAATGGTCCCATATCTTATGTTTGTGGGAATGGAAATTAAGTTTGGAGTCTCTGACCTTTGAACTAAAAAGCAGGCAATGCTCTATTCCAGGTATCCTACTCCATACAGATGGGAGATTTTCTGGGATATACAGGACAGAAGTCAGAATCCAGTCTAGAAACTGCCATTACCCTCTAACCCTAACCCCTAATACTTTTTAATTTAGTTTCATCAAATTCACATAACTATTACTTGTTTCCTTATCATGCAGACACATTTAATGAACCTTATTCATATTATATGTAGGCAATGTAGTCAGATATATGTTTACATTTACTAAGAAAATGTCTCTCCCACCCATTCTCAATACATTTTTTTAAAATTTATTTATTTATTTATTTGGCATATGGCATTCTTAATACAAAATATGGTTAAGTGTTTTTTGTCTTTGGTATATAGCTCCCTCTGCTGGAACCTAGGATAACTCATAATACAGAATTTTGTAGTCAGTAATCTACACAAAATAACTTTTAATAACTCTGAAATGCTTAAGGACATCATTTTACAAATACAGGAAATAATAATATACCATTTTTCTATTATTATTATGTTTTGTTGCACAGTCTATGTAATTGACTGCAATGAACCATAATAACTGAAAACTGATTTGTTAATTGGAAGAACAAACCAATGCATAGCCAATACTTGAAGGATATACGTAGATTATAGAAGGAAAAGCTGATTTAAAAAATCCCAGGTGGATTGATCAGGAATGTTAAAGAAAAAAACTGAAAGCTTTATTTTAGCAGCTCAAAAACAAGCTTTGCCAACTAATTGCATGAACATGCAACAAACAAAAGCAAATGTGGCTTTTGTAGTAAAAAGGGTGATGTCAACTTTAGAAATGAGCATGGTTGAGCCATTTCTCATTTGACGTTGCCACATAGAACGAGGAAGGGGGGTTGCCCAGATGCTTTGCTAATCAAAACAATCTTTTTGTAGGCTGCTTCCAAGACTAGAGATGGGGCATTTCATAAAAAGCCCACCAAATAAATATATTGGGGAACGTAGTTGCTTACATAGCTTTTGTGGGTGGGACATTTAACTTTGTATTGGGGAAATGTTGCTTGTGTATCCAGACTTGGTTTCACTTTTGATGTACCAATACTTTCTAAGTAATAAACATGTTCTTTGAGGAATATGCAAGCCTCAGAGTTCTGCTTTATTCATCTCTGTCTATCGGAAACATGACAGGTGAAACAACTGACCATTTGATTACTGCTGCAGCAAAATTTCACAGACTACAAGTAATGTCATGACTGGATTGCCAGAATTATTCACTGGAAACTTTGCTAGAGGTTTGGATTTGAATGTAATAGAAACTTCTGGGGTCATCAAATTGAAACACTTTTGGAAAATGAGTGGCTTAAGATTTTATGGAACTTTAAGAGCTAAACAAATAGGCATCTTGTTCATAGCATGCCTAATATAACAATTACTAAAAAAAGAAAGTATAGTTCATCAAAGTTGCTATTCCAGGTAATGCTAGCTAGGATTGAGAGAAAACAATTGAAAAAAATATGAAATATTGGGACTTGTAAATCAAAGTTGAACACTTATGGAAAAAGAAATCTGTTGTTATATCAATCATGATTGAAGCCTGCAAAGTTGCACCAAAAGGACTTCCTCAATATATGGAAATACTAAGCATCCCTCAAAAAACTCCACCCTGGTTAGGACTTGAATTATTAAGTTTCCACCAGTGTGAATCTAACTGTAGATTACCCCTACATAATAATATCATACACCATGTAAATGTATTAACACATAATTTACATATCAAGTTTTATACATAGTTTATATATACCATATAATATATTGATACATAATATAGTGATACATAATATATAGCATCTATAATATTATAAATGTTTGTCCTCTAAAACAGGGCTTTTCAACCAGTAGTACGGGTACCACCTTTGGTACATTGGCACCTGGCAGGTGGTACGCAAGCACCCTAGAAAAATGGTAGTGGGGGAGGGGAATAAGCTGAACCTGTGGCAGCACTGCACAAGCCTGAGTGAGAGATGGCTGGAGCTGCAGGGCTGTCAGGGCTCAGTGGAAGCGCCAGGATCAGAGCCAGGCTCCAGCTGGAGCTCGGCACTGATCTTGGCACTTCTGCTGAGCCCAGAAGAAGTGCCAGTCAGCTGGAATGTTGCAGCATCTCCAGGGTCTTGTGATTTACATTCAGATGCTTGGCAACGGATTCATATTTATGACGGTCACAGTGTCCCAGGGTTATGTGAAGTGACCAAAGTCTGCTGCAATCACCTAGCAGACGGGGGAAATAAAAACCAAACACCCGCCCCAACTCCCACGGCTAATCCTCAACAGAAATACTCACAACAATGAAACCTCAGACAGGAGGAAGAGCACCACCGGGCGGGCCGGCAGGTGTCTTGCTTGGCTGTGGCTTGGGGGGCACTTTTCAGTGCTATTGTAACTTCGAACAGTCACTAAGCAAACTGTTGTAAGTTGAGGACTACCTGTACTTTATCACTTTTTTCCTTTTTTTTTGGTCATCAAGTTTTTGACACCTTGCTAGGCGACTGGTGGTACTCGGATATTACCATATCCTAAAAGTGGTACAAAGGGTGAAAAGGTTGAAAAGCCCTGCTCTAAAAGAGTATGCAAATAGGGATAAAAACAGATGTTTATCATAATATTTGTAACTGACATAAAGCCCTCTTACAGTTAATTTTTTTCACATACTTTTGTGAAATAATATCACAGTGCTTGCAAAGAGGCAGGTTTAAAGACAGAGAGAAGAGAGTATTGCAATTGACTAGATACAACTAAAGAAATGAATGCACTTCATATCTGTGAAAGTGATGCTGCAGTTGCAGTCTTGGAGGGATTCAGATTTCCCAACCATCAGGATCACTGGAGGAGAATGCTAAGATATGTAATGTCAACCCATCCAGAATCAAGACTGGGGAAAGCTGCTATGAAAGTAATACATACACAAACAACTCTGCAATATTGAAATTCACATATAAATGGAACACCATTCATTTACCATTTGATTTCTGCCACTAATAGTTATACGTAAGATGTACTCAGAGCAAATTATAGTAAAACGTTGCTAATATTTGTTCTTATATGGATCTAAGTGAAATAATGAGTGGGTTAGCTTTATTCTTCCTGTAAGAGGATATTATATACTTTTTCTTCCAGTTCTACTTCTTCTGATTGGCTGGATGTTTATTATGGTTAGCTCCTTGGATATTTTTATGAAAGAAGATATAGATAATTTAAACCAAAGAAAATAAAAACAAAGTGTTGTCAGCTACATCATTACTGAATCTATATGAATTGATATCATTGTCATGATATGATCCACAATAAGCAGGAGTTACACCTTAAAGGACAAACCCCTCTTAAGATATCAACGATGGAGTTGATACTGGACTAGCTAGTTAAAATATACAAGATCGTTAAGAAAGGGAGATTCAGGGAATTTCCCATGTTCCTTGAACACAATTTTTGAGCTTGAAAATACTACGGAGTGCAAAATACCTCAGTATAGCAACTGAATCATTCTGTGTTTAAATTAAAAAGATTTCAAGATGCTCTATAATTATTGCTGCATCCTTAAACAGAATATATTGAAGAAAGTAAAACAGTATCAAACTGACCTTAATACTTCATATGTTTATGAAACTGATTCTATTTTTCCCAATTCTTTTACTCCCAAAAAACTTCAACAATGCAATTATTTTACACTTTTTGTCACACTAAGCATTAACAAGGGTTCTTTGTCCAAAATACATCCTGCCAAAATTTAATAAGAAGCAGATATTGACATAGCAGTTACTCAGTGCTACTACTTTGTCTTTTGTCAGTGAGCGACTATGTCTTCAATTGCACTGAACTGAAAATCAAAGTTCAGTTTTGTTATCATGGGAAACTTCTCACAGTACCTCTTGACCAATTATTGTGTTACAGTTTAGTAAACCCATGGAGTTAGTTATTTGCTGAAATTAATATATTTACAAAAAGCATGCAAATGCAGCAGTACATTTTGTGTACCCTTTATAAATCTATGTTTGATTTTTTTCTTGAATTATTAACCTGCATGCATTCTTGGAAAAGAAGAATATAAACTGAATGTTAGACTAGACTAGCTCTTATTGACTTACTTTTTAGAAGTTATTACAAGGGATTTATCTGGAGAAATAAAATCAAGCACACCAAGTATATTTATTAGCAGCCTGAGTATTCCTGCACTATAAAATTCATATACTACTATGGTTTGTATTGCACAGGGTTATTATTGTTTAATGACAAAGTGCTTTTAAGTCAGTAGAAGGCCATGCAGATCTCTTACATTTTTAGTGACATCTCAATAAAACTATCTCATAATTAGATGATTGAATGAAGTACTTTAATTCACTCTTGGGATTCAAATATGTGAACAACTGGTTCTCTGTGTGGAGGCCGCTACCGGAAGTCCAATCTCTCCATTTTGTTGCCTGGGCAACAAAAAATTAGCTACCGGTTCTGCCGAAGTGGTGCAAACCGGCTGAATCCCACCATTGCTTTAATTCCTTAGATAAATGGTTAAAGGCATGCAAGGTAGTGTTGTTTAATTGACCACAGCAGTATACACATTTTATGTATGTGTATTTACAGCACATCTGGATCACAAGAACATTCCCTATGAGTTAGTGACATTGACAGGCTAAATAACTTACTCCCTGCTTCAATTCTTCTTCCTAAAGAAAAATGGGATGATCATGAATTAGATGAATCTAACTTTAGAAAATAAAATAAAAGAGAAGTAAATTGCAGTGCAACAAAACATAATTGCTATTGCCAGCAACAGTGTGCAACTATCACAATTTTGGGAGGAGGTAGCAACATAAATATTAATAGAAGAGAATAATAAATATTAGCAATGCCTTCAAGCCCTGTTGATAAAGTTGTTAAATATTCGAGTCATATTACTTTAAGGGAGACAAGTTGGGAGTTGCATGTTTAGGGCATAACATAAAGCTATTAGCCAGGGCAGTGCCTTTTCTTCATCTCCTTTAGTCTCTATTATTCCTCTCTTTAACTTTTAATCTCTTTAATCATTTCTTTCTTACTTAGCAGACTCCAAAGGAAGGGACAGATTTTTCCTGTTAGTGTGGGCTGATTCCTTGTAAACAGCTCTGGAGACTAGGCTGGAGTGTTTAGGTTGTGCACTTCTATTCTTCAAATACCTGCTTGACTACTTTTGGAACCAGTCTTCCATATTCAGTGTTTATGCCCTAGTAACATTTATGCTTTCAAATTAATTTTTCTGAAAATTCAATGCCCAAAGAAAATTTACTTTTAATGTTAACACTGAGAGACAGAATGAATATAAGATGCAGGAAAACTGCCTAATAGTCATTTCACTGAACAATTGCTGTGATTTTATTCTGAGAATACCAGGATCAATCCCCCCTCATCTTCACAGTTTATCTCTAATAGGTCAAGCAAGGTTCTTGCAGTTTAAGACAAGTCTAAAATTTTATATTTTCACAGAATTCCAAACAATTACACTTGGCTACTTCCTCAACTTATTTTCTTCTCAGAAGCATTAATACTTTTATATTAATCATTCTTCAGATTACTTGTGCTTAAGAGTTTGTCAAAATTAGATCCCTACAGCACTTAGTATCTTCAAGGAGTGAGGAGGTAATTCTTGATTTACAGAAAAAGATAAATAACCTCAGTTCAGACTGTTTCATGTGATTTTAATTTAGAGAACAAAAGCAAATGATTGCTGTAGGAACTGAGAAACTTATCTGACCACCAACATCTCTACCTATCTGTAGAATGGGTAGAATGAAAATGATGATACCATAATAACATTGTACTGCCTTCCTTTTTTATTGCAATTTTATCTATTTTATCTATTTTGCTTAATAGAGTGCTGGAACATTTTACCTTGAGTAGTTTCATGAGGCCTTCTAACTGAACCATGAGTTCTCTTCGGCTTTCCTGAAGAGCTGACATCCTCTGTTCCAACTCGTCTTTCCTCTGTCTAAACAATAAGCACTGAAGATGAAAGCAGTGCATTTGTTGCAACTGAGGTATAGGACAATCTGAATATAAGAAATGCAGTTCATTTCCTAAGTTCTCCCAAACTTAGATGTGAACTGGGGAGAACAAAAGCAATAATTCTCTATTCATAAACATGTCAGCATGCTTTACTTTTACTACTTCTCTCACAGTATAGAATGCCTTAGGAGTCTTGGTTAATTTTATCTACACAAAAATAACTCTGCAAGATGGAGTTGATGCAAAGTCATTTAGGGAGCAAGAACTCAAACTTGTGTCTCCCTAGACTAAGTCTAATGTTTTAGTCATAATATGTAGTCTATGTCCATTCTACACTGGATGTTAAACTATGCATATTTCTTTTGGCTCTTTGAACAGAATAATTGGTTTTATTCAACCTTGGATGATAAAGTAAGGATAACTCCTGTTTGTATTCAAAATGTTAAGGAAAGTAGCCTTATAAAGGGATGTGTACTTTCACTGGAATGTTGAAATAATGAATATTCTCTCTTGTAAGTTTAAAAATGGACACAGTAATTATTTCTTTTTCAAAATAGATAGTCTTACATGGAATTGAACAAAACAGACAAGAGGTATTACACTAAATATGACATATCTACCTTCCCACATCTCTTTCGCATATTTACCTCAGGAGGCGAAGTTCTGCCAGGAGCGTAGGGTTTTGTGCTGCCTTCTCTGGGGTGGTCTGAGATGCCTGCTCATGTTCAAGCCGTAGTCTGTGAATCTCTTGTAAGATTTCTCTGGCATAGGAAGAGAGATAATAAAAAACAGTGATAAGTATGTTTCTTTTTTCTATGAGCAAAGTTTTTTTAACACAGAACATTGCAAATAATGTCAACTAATTTGAGATATTTATGGATAATCTTCTGAATCTTAATGAGAAAATCACAGTACTCTGATAAGCTTTAAAATGTTTAAGGCTGCTCTTCTGACAACTAGCCCTTTGCCCTCCATTCGGGAACTCTTCAAAAATTGCCACAGATGTAATTCAAAAAATTGCTGCCCGAGACAAACACTGCAAAAATTGGTCAGGACTACGGCTATCAATCACCAGCACACCCATTAGAATGACTGAGAATTCTCTCTAGTCATCTTATAAGTCTGGAAATATTAAATATTATCAGGATAAAAATGGCTGGCTTCATGGTTTCTAAATTAGTGCCTTAACCACTATATGAAACTGGTTATATCGTAATATCAGCATATTATTTCTCCTTCAACCCTGCTATTTTCTTTCTTTCTCTCACTTCTTACTAAATCATGTGTTTCCTGAAGAAAAGAACTAGCAGATTTCTGCCATAACAATCTTAAATGTATATTTTAAAATATTAACATTAACAATGTCATGACAAAGAAAAGAAGTAAACTTTTCTGTATGATGATCACCCGTAATATATCTATGGTGTTTTCTTATAAGCAATGTTGTGAATTTTGCCTTGTTACCAACTACTGTATATATGCAATATGTTTTATCCACACATATATTTGGCTTAATGTAGGTTTCGGGATTTTACCTGTTCTTATTTTCAAGTTCTGCAATAAGCTGTCGTTGTTGCTTATTTGCATCAATAGAGAATGAAATATCTGGAGCACCTCTTTGTTGTGGTTGCTGTTGTGGCTGCTGTAAAACAAACTGAACATGTTACTACATATATATGTAAACGAATATTATTTAAAGGAAGTAAACAATAGTTTTGTCCCTTAGTATATCTAAGTATACTGTACATAAGCGTAATGTCATACCTAAGTCCCTGGTTTCAAAATTCACTTTAGCTGAGATTTCACATTATATATTTGACAAATATATAATTTATCTCATTTCACCTCTATGGTAACATAGATGATAATAACTTTGCATCTAATTTACAGTATAACTGTTAGGACTGGGAAATTTTAATAGAAATCTTACCCATCTAGAGTAAGGGTCTGCGTGAGGAGTCTTTTATTTTATAAGGCAGCAAAATGGCAGACAGATAGTAAACTTAAAACACAACAGACAATACTCTGCTTTAAGCTATAATCCTAGACCCATTGTAAGTGGATATAACAGGCACATCCAACCAGAAAAATTTCTGGAGGTCTCTGGATTATAACCTAAACTCTTTTTTTACTAGTAAGAAAGCCCAGGAGGGTCTGTTGACTAAATTCCTGGCCAAATAAAACTCCTTCCTCTTGAGAGTAAATGGTCAAGAAGGAGAGTGCTAGAGTGGCTGGAAATGGTATGAGGAAAAAGAAGGTGGCAACAGCAAATATAAGTTAAAGCAACCTCTGCTGACTTGGTTGGGTAGGGCAGGTAAATGGAGATTCTTATAGTTTCATTAAACTCAAGGGAATATACTTTTGAGGAGAAAATTTATATGACTGTGATTATTTAATGGGATAGTGAAACAATGTGACAGGAACCAAAAGGTATAATCTCATGGTCTTAAAAAATAGCTCTGGGATTTTTCTTTCTGACCAACAAATCTCAACAGAAAAATAAGAATTAGCAAATAATTTTAGATCTCCTAGTGCCAGGCACCTAGCTATTATTTTAAGTCACTAGAACAGACAGAAATCACTAATACTTTTTGCAATGTCCCTAAAATTATTAACATGATATACTCTATTCTGGATTCAGCTCTAATCATAGAACACAGCTTTTTTTCCAGACTTGCATGGAATGGGCTATATGTGGAATTTTAACCTATTGGCATATTACCCTGTAAGAGAGTTCAAGTTGAATCTCTGATTCTGAGAAAAAATATGGGAAAAGCACTCATTGATACAACCAATCCCTCTGGTCCAGGAGAAGTAGAAATTAATCGTCAAGTTTATTTGTGGCCTATATAAATTATTTCAACAAGTTTCTCTTTACCTTAGCTAGTTATATTGTTTTCACATTTGTTTATTGGATTGAAAACATTTGCTGGTAACTTCCCAAGAAGATTTTGGTATCTATATCCTGCTCTTTGAAAAATTTCCATATTTTGACAGAATATTACTCACTTCATAGTACCAACAGTAGCAAGGGGAATCTAAATAAACATTGAATTATTAGGCCCTCATCCTGTAGATAGTGATCAACTGGCAAGTGTATGAGTTAGATGCTGATTCTCAAATCTGAGTATCTGCAATATTTAAACTGCCACTCCCAATTGGTGGCCACCATTCTGAGGACATCTAAGAAGAATAATGAAGGAGTCCCTGTTAATTATCAGTAGAATTGGCACAGCCAAGCTATCTCAGGATATAAGTAGGTTTAAGTAGAAGAGTAAGGTGACAGCATTATAGAGGATTAGCAGTATCAACAACACCATGAAAAAGATGGAAGTAGACAATGCCTTTTGGACACACTGATTCACTGCACTGTTAGCAGGACATCTACATTAGTCTTTAAGCAATCTAATCTTCATCAAGTAAGTCATACTCAACTTTCAAGAATTCCCTGTCGTAGCTGGAGAAGAGTTTGTACTGCTTGAAAAAAAACAGTACAATAGGGCAAAATGGTTAAGACATTACAGTATTTATGAAAACTGTGTTTAGTTTTCCATCAGCTGTGCTTTATCCAGTCCCATCTCTGCCTTAAGAAAATTGGTATCCAATTCATCCCTAAATCTCACAGACTAACAACCAACAGCCATTCTAAATCAGAAACTCTCTAAGACTTTCAAGAATTCTGACCTAACAGAGCATCCTTATCAGAAGCAACATCCGTGTATCAGACCCTCGTGGCTTGTTAAAGGGCATTGGGGCATTAAAGGGTTTTTTTTCCTCTAGGTCACTGGGGCTGTTTTCATATGTTATAAGTGGCATCAGGTGTGATATATTCTTAATTTTATTTGGCCATTTTGTTGTTGCTTTTTAACTGGATGTTAGGTTCCAAAGTCACAAAGTGAATAGGTAGCTACCGTATATAAATAGAACAAGAAAATGGACAGTCTGAATTAAACCCTTCCTTGTCACATTGCCAATGTCATATTAAGTTGGTGGTTCTCTGCTACTCTTTTATTCCACTGATATGATTAATTTAAGTATAGCATTATATCTCTGCATCATGGGTATCAGCCTAGAATGAATCAAGAACTGGGAATCAAGAGGAACCTAAACTCTTAAATAGTTAATTCAGAAAATTAAGAATTAAGAAGCAAGAAGAGAAACACAACCTATGCCAAAGAAGTCAAGTAGACTTTATTAGGTCATGTTCAGTTAGAATATGTTTGTCTTTCTGGCCAGTACAATCCAATTGCTAAGTAATTAAAAATTATTTTCTATGATACTGTCAGTTGCCAGTTGCACAGTTAACATTTTACTGAGAGCAAATTATGCCTAGTAAATATTTCTTCTGCTGTTGAGGGGGAGGAAAAGAACAACAACAATTACCAGAAGCAGTTTTCTAGCTTTTTCCCTCAAAGAACAACAATTTGGGGAAAATCTCTCATCGATGGGGTACAAAGTTATTGCAGCTGCCTTAGGAATATCTTGTACTATAATTTATTCAGTGATCTGTGGCCTCTTTTGATATTCTAGGCCTGAAATGTTAAGAAATAGCATCTTGACTCCTTATATAATATAATGCTTCTAATAAGAAAGCACAGGCAATGAGGTACACAATGATGTAGCTGTTCATAGTAACCTACACAAACATTCCACCATCCTAAAAAGATTCAAAAGTATCACGAAAAATGAAAGAAATTAATTAAATCTGAGGAAATGATCAGAAGCCTCTTTGAGAATTAAAATAAGTTTTTAGAAATTAGAAAACAAATTTCACTATAGTATTAGGCAATCATCCATTGCCTAATGTCATCCAATAATTTCTATTTTTCAATGAGTAGCTATATAATCAAGAACTTGCTTGTTACAAGAATTTATTCTGCACATTGCAAGGCTGACTACATAATGTTCTTTGTTTACCTGAAGTACAATGTATATTACATTGATTCAAGGCTTTCCAAACCAACTCAAAACATAAACATCGAAGTACAGATCATTTTTCTGAGGCACAGAAAAACTAAGATATCTTCAATATGTACCAAAGAAATTTCAAAGCACACAAGGGTAAAAGAAGAAGAAAGGCCACCTGCTAGTGAAGGCTCTTTTGCCCTAAGGATACATTGCTGGGTGAGCTTCTCCCTTTGTTGTCCCTGCAATATCAAATCTCCAAAGCTCTTAGTTTAGTACTTAGAAATTGCATCTGCATCAATGGGCACCTCCCAAAGCTACCATTTGATTTTTCTTTAAGATGAGAAGTCTATTTTCTAATACTACAAAGAAATTAAGTGAATGAAGCTTGGTATTCTCTCAAAGTCTTGAAAAAAAGAAAGAAGCAAAGACAAATAATCTCAAAAGCCCAGCTTTAGCAACACTAAAAACTGTGTACAAAGCAAGAAGCCAGATTTTTTTTAATCTCACAGAAGACTTTTAATAGAACAATTTGCTTTCTTCTTTAGAATTTGCTAGCTCTTATTAATATTGTTATTGGTACTAATAATTGTCATTTGTTTGTTTTACATATAAATTCATATCCTGCTTTTAAGAACAAAAATAAAATTTGAAAAGCAATGCTAAAACAACAAAACACTGAATAATGAAATAGCATAACTTAAACGCTTAAAAATAAACAGTGATAAGACACTGAAGGACCTAAATACTTTCCACAAACAGAAATTGAGAATGTGAAGTTTGAGGGACTTCCATCTACAAATATACTACAATAGTAGGTATTGTTAATTTGGTAACCATACAACCAGAAGGTGGTTACTTTAGGACACCGGGGACTAGTACTGTAGCATACACAATTCTAACTCCTAAAAGTGAAAACAGATATTTCAGGAGGAATACATAAAAGACTGCCAGGGTTGCACCTCATCAAGTATCCACTATCTGAGTCAATTCTCTCAGTTGCCTAATGGTAGGGCAGATGCTTTATACCAATTTTTCTTTAACTATATTTAGGTTCATTAGATGCAAAACAAGCATATCCAAGGAAAAAGGAGAAAGGCAACTTTAGAGTAAGATGTGCCAGACTGCAAATACAAAAAAAGTTTTCATTTCAATATATATATGTTTGTGTGTGTGTATATATATATATATATATATATATATATATATATATATATATATATATATATATATATATATATGTAGGTCTTTGGTTGTTCGGGTTTTCTCCCGCGTAAAATTGGAAGTGTCTTGGCGACGTTTCGACGAAGTCCCATTCGTCATCTTCAGGCTGGTGTTTTCAGCTTCGTGCTTCGAGCAGCAATGTGTGGTCTTAGCTGTTTCTTCCTTTTAACTGCCAGTGGGGGTATGAACTGATTGGGTGGGAGCTTGGCTGTGTTCTGATTGGGTGGAGGTGTGTTCTGATTGGTTAGGGGCTTGGCTGTGCTCTGATTGGCTGGGGGGGTTGGCTGTGCTCTGATTGGCTGGGGGAGTGTTCTGTTTGGTTGTGCTCAGGTTAGTCTGAGTTGCAGAGGGGTTTAAGATTTTGGGCTGCCTTGCTATTTTTTGGCTTCGCGTTCGTGGTCGTGCCTCCTCTTCATGGAGGGTGTCAGTTTGCTTCATGTATGGATTGGAGGAGTTTAAAGTGGCTAATGATGCAGCTGTGGTCTGGCTTCTGGTTTGTGGTCGTGCCTCATCATCGGTGTGGCTTTGGGTTTGTTTTCTGCGTGGATGTGTGGTGGTGACATCCTGTGTGGTTTTTGTGAGTGTGGGTCTGGTATCATTTTTTGTGTTAGGGAGTCGTTTGTCAATAAGGGCGGGTTTCCAAATGGCTGGTAGGCGGGAGGTATCATCTCGCTTGTTCATGCTGTGTGGGCGTTTTTCTATCTCGATGGCTTCTCTGATTATTCTGTTATTAAAATGTTCACTTTTGGCAATGGTTCTGGTATTTTTAAAGTCAATTTCATGTCCTGTGGCTTTAAGGTGTTGGACCAGGGAAGATGTTGGTTCCTCTTTTTTGACTGAGTTCTTATGTTCTTCAATGCGTGCACTTATTCTTCTGTTGGTTTGTCCGATGTATGTGGTGGGACAAGTGGTGCATGGGATTTCGTATACTCCTTGATTTTCTAATTCAATTTTATCTTTGGGGTTTCTAAGGATGGTGGATATTTTTCTGTTTGTGCAGAATGCTGTTTTGATGTTGTGTTTATGAAGGATCTTTGCCGTTTTCTTGTTCTTTGTCTTGGATTTTAATGGGGGTTTCTTTTTGGATTAGGTTTGTAATCTTATTTCTATGGAATCCATTGGATGTTAGTACATTGGATGAGAGTGTGTAGTTCGGTTTTAGGTGTTGTTCGTCAGCTAAGCGTTTTGTTCTGGAGATGAGTGTCTTGGCTACAGAGTTGATCTGTGCTGGGTGGTGGTGTGAGAGAGCGTGCAGATAGCGGTTTGTGTGTGTTTTCTTCTGGTAGATGGTGTGTCCTAGGGAGCCATTGGATTTCTTGTAGACTAAGACATCCAGGAAGGGAAGTTGGTTGTTAGCTTCTGTTTCCATGGTGAACTGTATTTTGGGGTGTAGGCTGTTGAGGTGTGTGAGGAAGTTGTCCAGTTTTTCTTTCCCATGTGGCCAGATTATGAAGGTGTCGTCTACGTATCTGAGCCAGAGTTTGGGTTTGTGATCCGATTTTTCTAGAGCTTGGGTTTCAAAGTGTTCCATGTAGAGGTTGGCAATGACAGGTGAGAGGGGTGATCCCATGGGTGCTCCTTCTGTTTGTTTGTATTTTTGTCCATTATAGATGAAGTATGTGTTGGATAGGCAGTGGTTGGTCAGATCTAAGATGTGTTTGGGGGGGTTATATTTGTTTTGAATAGCTGTCAAGGCTTCTTTGATAGGCACTTGGGTGAAGAGGGATATGACATCGAAGCTCACTAGTAGGTCGCTGGGCTGTAAGTTTTGTTTCTTTATGATCTCTATAAACTGGAATGAGTTTTTTACGTGTGAGGTGATGGATTCTGCATAGGGCTGTAGTTGTTGTTTGGCGAGAAATTTGGCTAGGTTTTGTAGAGGTGAGCCTATGGAGCTGACTATAGGTCTGAGTGGGGTTCCTTCTTTGTGTATCTTGGGGAGACCATAGAGTTTGGGGCATCTGGATGATTTCTCTCTGGGAATGATTCTTTGCTGGATCTCTTCGCTAATGGGGGAGGCTTTTATTTTGGATCTGGTGGTTTTTTCCAGGTAGGTGGTGGGATCTGTATTTAGGGGTTTGTATGTGGAGTCTTGGAGTAGGTTGGTTAATTTGGTTTGGTAGTCAGATGTGTTCATAACCACCGTGGCGTTGCCCTTGTCTGCTGGTAGGATTATTATGCTGGTGTCTTCTTTCTTTGGTTATTCGGGTTTTCTCCCGCGTAAAATTGGAAGTGTCTTGGCGACGTTTCGACGAAGTCCCATTCGTCATCTTCAGGCTGGTGTTTTCAGCTTCGTGCTTCAAGGAGCAATGAAGCTGAAGCACGAAGCTGAAAACACCAGTCTGAAGATGACGAATGGGACTTTGTCGAAACGTCGCCATGACACTTCCAATTTTACGCGGGAGAAAACCTGAATAACCAAAGACCTACATACAAACACCCGCGAAAACCTCAGAATATATATATATGTATGTATGTATGTATGTAGGTCTTTGGTTGTTCGGGTTTTCTCCCGCGTAAAATTGGAAGTGTCTTGGCGACGTTTCGACGAAGTCCCATTCGTCATCTTCAGGCTGGTGTTTTCAGCTTCGTGCTTTGAGCAGCAATGTGTGGTCTTAGCTGTTTCTTCCTTTTAACTGCCAGTGGGGGTATGAACTGATTGGGTGGGAGCTTGGCTGTGTTCTGATTGGGTGGAGGTGTGTTCTGATTGGTTAGGGGCTTGGCTGTGCTCTGATTGGCTGGGGGGTTGGCTGTGCTCTGATTGGCTGGGGGGTTGGCTGTGCTCTGATTGGCTGGGGGAGTGTTCTGTTTGGTTGTGCTCAGGTTAGTCTGAGTTGCAGAGGGGTTTAAGATTTTGGGCTGCCTTGCTATTTTTTGGCTTCGCGTTCGTGGTCGTGCCTCCTCTTCATGGAGGGTGTCAGTTTGCTTCATGTATGGATTGGAGGGGTTTAAAGTGGCTAATGATGCAGCTGTGGTCTGGCTTCTGGTTTGTGGTCGTGCCTCATCATCGGTGTGGCTTTGGGTTTGTTTTTTGCGTGGATGTGTGGTGGTGACATCCTGTGTGGTTTTTGTGAGTGTGGGTCTGGTATCATTTTTTGTGTTAGGGAGTCGTTTGTCAATAAGGGCGGGTTTCCAAATGGCCAACCCAAAATCTTAAATCCCTCTGCAACTCAGACTAACCTGAGCACAACCAAACAGAACACTCCCCCAGCCAATCAGAGCACAGCCAACCCCCCAGCCAATCAGAGCACAGCCAACCCCCCAGCCAATCAGAGCACAGCCAAGCCCCTAACCAATCAGAACACACCTCCACCCAATCAGAACACAGCCAAGCTCCCACCCAATCAGTTCATACCCCCACTGGCAGTTAAAAGGAAGAAACAGCTAAGACCACACATTGCTGCTCGAAGCACGAAGCTGAAAACACCAGCCTGAAGATGACGAATGGGACTTCGTCGAAACGTCGCCAAGACACTTCCAATTTTACGCGGGAGAAAACCCGAACAACCAAAGACCTACATACAAACACCCGCGAAAACCTCAGAAAACATATATATATATATATATATATATATATATATATATATATATATATATATATATATATATATATATATATATGACTGAAACATCTCTCTCCCTAATTAAAATTACTTACTGATGAAGTAGTCTCTGCTGCCAGTCTTGCTGCATACCGGGCAATCAGTCTATGTTCTTCATCAAGACGGTTCGGGCTGTCAAGTAAACTGTTATAGGAGAAGGGAAAGGAAAAACGAATAATCATTAATATAAAAGTTAAAAGGTCAATGCTCCTTAACCTCTACAGAGAAATGATATCTGTGATGATGATGATAGGGGAGACATGATAGAAGTTAATAAAATCATGCAAAAGATGGGGGAAATGGACATACTATGTTCTTCTATAACCCTGTAACTTTAGATCAAGTGAAATAGTTTGACAGCAATTCAAGAAAACTAAGCAACGTTAGGAGTTCCCAGCTGAAGAAGAGGATACAAATTACTGACTTTAGCAACTTTAGAAAGGGATTAGAAAATTTCATAGTGATTAGATTAACCAAAGGCTACAATCATGCCATCAAAAAGTACCTGCCATAGTCAGAAACAGCATGCCTCTAAAAAAGGAGCTTTTTTGTCAACCCCAATAGGGTTGTCAAAAGTTTTTGAGTGGTTACTGTTGGAAATAGGTTGCTGCATCAAAGGATGCCTACAGGATATGGTTTAAAAATGTCAAGATTGTGGCTGCAATGGTGTGATTGAAGATCCACCTATTTTTATGTGCATCATGTTTGTCTGTCTGATTCTCTCTCTCTCTCTCTCTCTCTCTCTCACACACACACACACACACACACACACACACACTCTGCAGATTCAACTGTATTGTCATGGCCCTCATCTTGACTTTTTTGTGTATACTCCTGGATGACTGAACCATATCAGAATCCAAATGTACAAGTAGTCTTCAACTGACGACCACAATTGAGCCCAACATTTATGATGCTAAGTGAGAAATTTGTTAAGTGAGTTTTGCCCCACTTTACGACTTTTCTCGCCACATTTGTTAAGTGAATCACTGCAGTTCTTAAATTAGCAACCCGATTGTTAAGTGAATCTGGTTTCCCCATTGACTATGCTTGTCAGAAGGTCACAAAAGGGGATCACATGACCCTGGGACACTGCAACCACCAGAAATGTGAGTCAGTTGTCAAGCAGCCAAATGTAAATTACGTGACCATGGGGACACTGCAATGCTCATAAGTGTGCAAAATGGTCATAAGTCAATTTTTTTCAGTGCCGTTGAAACTTTGAATGGTCATTAAATGAACTGTTGTAAGTAGAGGACTACCTGCATTAGGACTTCCCTATTTTTTATTGTTAATTAAATTCCTGACATTATTTTACATTTGTGTTGGTTGAAGCAATGTAAAAGCACTTGACATAAATAAATAAGTAAATAAACACTGCATGTATCGTTATGCCATCCAACACACCCAGGGGGAATCTATTTGGAAAGGCAGTTGTAACTTAGCACTTTTGCCACCGTTGCTAATCTTAAAATAATTCTGTCACTTCTATTTCTCAAAGCAAATATTTTCCCCTCCCCTAGTAAATTTTTAAAATCAAAGCATCTTTGTTTTTCTGAAAATAAAAGCCTAACAATGATAATTTGGATTTAAACGAACTAAAAGATTCATTTCACCCTTTTTACCTTTTTTTCATTCTAGTGTGCCACTGTAGTAAGGACTATGAAAGATAATAACACAGATATTTCTTTGTAACAATGGGAAATATCTTTATTACATTTTAGTTATTTTGCATTAGTTTCAGGCTAATGAGCCTATACCTGTGATGAAGCTTTCATGATATACTAGACAGCCCGTACCCGCTGGGTCATCCTTTCAGATATATTTCCCCATCAAAACAGAGAATGGAAGTCCAAACCTCTACTGCATTCCTGTCATCCAGCTGCAATCTTCTGATTCCCATTGACTTTTTCCCTATAAGCTTCCCAGGCTTCCTCATTGACTTGTGGGAAGGTGTCAGGGAATGTACCATAGTAACATATTTAACATGAACATTTCTGCTCTAAACTTAAGACTAGACAAAGTTACTCAAATAACATTTTCTTAATCTTTTCAATAGCAGGTGCAGCAACACTGAAAATTCTGAATGGAGAACACAGGCTGTGGGATACATTTTGCTCTATAATAAGATATTATTTATCACCTCTCCCCCAAAACACATCTGCCTAAATTGTGTGGGCATGCATACTCATACAGATAATTAACAGATAGATAAAAGAATACAAATAAGGGTTGTGCAGAGTAATTTTTTTAATTCAAAAGCTCCCTAAAAAATAAAAAGAATGTAATAGCGCATTAGGCTGAAAAGGAAGTGCAATTATTCAGTGATGTAGTAATTATACTACATTTTAATCTGATCAGGAAGAAGAATCACAACTTCATTACTGCCAGATATTTCAGGGCAAAAAACCAGTAGCAAACCAAAGATTATCCACATAATTCTTAAAGTTAAAGACTGCTTGATGGAATGATAAAGCAGGAAAAGCTAAATACTGCAACTCCAAATAAAAGTAGTCCATTCCTTGTTTAGTGCCATGACACCTAAACATGTGAATTTATCTTGTTGTCTTTGGTTTGGTGGGAAATTATACAATGCTGCTGTGATATGCACACAACAAAAAAGACACGGTTACAAATGAGTTATTTCTCAACTGATACAATGGTGAGATTACAGAATGGGACTAATTTGCTCTAAATCAGTTCAGATGATTTAGGTCTATTAATGTGTCAAGATATGTTGGGAGGTAAATTACATCCACACTTTAATAAATACAAAGCACTGAGCTCTGAAGTACAATGTAAAAACAACAGCTAAAAGCAAGCTGAAGCAAACTATGTTATTTTTGAAATCATCAGGTTCCCAAATAACCACTTTGCTATATATATTAATAGAATAAAATGAGCAAAGGATCTCCACGCGTTGAAAATCTTAAGATTCTGAGTTCTTATCAGCAATTGCTGGTAAGTAAGATGTAACAGTGGACCAGTGTTTCTCCTGGCATCTTAGAATGATCCAAATATCTTAATGCTTCTCAGTTCATTCAAAAAATACCCACATAATATACAAAATTCTGAACTTCTTGTGCTGTTGATTTCTATGAATATGTATTTCTCATTTCACCCAATAGCATTTCTTTAAGGAAGTCAGTGCATTTTGACTTTACATATTGGACCACAATATGACTTGGAAAAGATAAATAGATGGGTAGATAGATAATATATAGAGATATAGATTAGATATAGATAAGGATATTGATATAGATATAAACAGATGTGTCTGCCTATCTCACTGATTGTTTGCTGGGTTCCAATAGTAGTAGACTCCTAGTGATGTACATATTCAATACAACAATCCAATTAAAAATAATAAATAAAAATATTAGCCCAAAGATCTCAGGGATTATTAGCAATAATTCACATGCAGTTAATTCTTCTGCAAGCAGGCACAAGATAACAATATGTCCCAAAGGCCTGCAAAAAGTAGGTCTTTTTGAAAACTCAGGAACACAAGAGCCAATCTAATAACTGGATGAATTGTGTTCCAGATTTGGGAGCAGCAATTGAAGAAACCTTGCGCCATGGGTCCTACAAATGACATTCCCTGAAAAAGGGCCTGGGATAAAGTGCTTTTTTTACTGATCTTAATAGATGGGCAGAATACATGGCTCCAAAGATACACAGGCCCTAATCTACATAGTGCTATGAAAGTGACAACATCAGGAAGCAAACAGGTAAATAGTACAATTCTCAGAGCAGTTTACACTGTGAACTGATTAATAGTCATCTGTCTGAGCCACTTTAAAGGGAGTTCTATGTAAAAGCATTGTGGTAATCCAAACAACAGGTGACCAAAGCAGAAGTAAAAGTGAGCTGGGACAACTTCTTGAGGAAAGATTATACCTGATGCACAAGACAGAGCTGTGTGAAAGATCTCCTCTCATAGCTGCTACTTGCTCCTCATCAAGGAGTAGCTGTGAGAATAGAAGGAGCTTATTTTATGGGCCAATTCTGACTGGCAAAACATGATCCTATTCAGAATTAAAGATCAAATTTATCTGAAATCACAATATTTCTATACTACTTGTTGGGATTAAGTTTAATCATGTTTGTCTTTATCCAAACCCTGGGGCACTTCTATTCAGTTGGTAGCTGAGATGTAAAGGTGAGTATTTTCAGCATATTAATGATTCCTGACTTCAACTTAATAGACTGTCTCCCCTCACCTTCCTGCAGCTTCATATACATACCAATAGAAAGAAAGCTATGATTTTTCTTCACCTTCCTGAAATTATTTGTTTAGGAAAAAAAGAGAGCCATTAAAGAGCAGTGCCTTTTACCCCTAACTCTTGCACACAGTTCTATAAGTGCAACATGGAGGCTTCTGAGGATAACATGGAGGCTTCTGAGAAATCAAACAGTAGCAAGGCAGTCATCCTTCCCCTATCTCAGTCTTGCCACAAATCCTCCATAGAAGCAATCTGTGTGGATTTGTTTCCATATTATGCAGGACAGAATCCAGATATAAAAGCATGCAGACAATCCATTTCCTCCAGAGCTCTTGAGAGATTCATATGCTCTCAATAACCTTTTGTTATTTTATTATAAAATGAACATTACAGCTAAATATCCAAACTTTTTATCATGTTTTCTATGATTTACAGTCATGCATGAAAAACATGCTTCTTACCTGAAAATCTAATCTTCATAAAATGACCATACAGAGTATTGCCCTTCCAAAGATTGCAGCTCTCTGGGAGAAGTAATCAATCTAATGTTCTGGATAAAAGTGGATGGCTGACTCCTGGGAATATAGCTTGGAGGAATGTTGCAAATGTGGCTGCTGCTCATATGCAATGAATATAAATTTGAAGGCACACTGATGTTCAGCTATCTTATAGCAAAGTGCCACCAATCATTTGAACTAATGCTGACGAGAACGATCACATATTTTATATGGCCTTGAAAGACCAAAAATAAATACTGGTCCAGGCAAAATGATGCCAGATGATCCCATTATGTTCCTGGTGGGCTGTACTGCAAACAGACTTTTTGCCCCAGGGTGATTTGATCATGGCCATCGTGACACATTTTATACTATGACTGTTCTGTATGGCTGAGTTGATGAGGTAGGATATTGTTTCTTCCAAGCACATTGACTCCCAGGATGAAGTTGGAGTGACCAAACCCTAATCTATAAAGTACAGTGCAAAAAAGGGGTGGACTTTGTACCACCTTGTTTTTGTGTAAGACCCTGGGCTTGTCAACCGGAAGGAAGGCAACTTAGTTACCAAAGTTAAAAAAGTCAATTTATACCTATCTGAAGGAGATAATTTGCTCTAGCAATACTGGTATGTTTGAAAAAGAATCCTTAGGGATGTAAAACTAAAAGTCAGATGACATGGGAGGATAAGGTATCCTTGCACAATTCTAAAGCATTTTAAAGAAGAGATGAGATAAAATTAAGCAAGCTAAAAAAACATATATGTATCAATTTGATGATCAGTTCAAGGACAAATGTGCTGATGTTGTGACAACTGAAAAACAGAAAAGCTGGGATTATGTCTATTTGTACAGTATATGAAGGGACAGGGATCCCACCAATAAATTCTATAAACTCTAGAAGAGTCTCAGTGTGACTATATACAAACACATAGATCAACAGTGTGAATCACAGAGACCATGATGAAGTACCATTTTGATTGATGTTGATTTTCTTCACTTTTAATAACTGAACATCCCCTTACATATTTTTTTCAAGAGGAAATCCAATACAATCTAATTGATATAATTTTAGGGTTGAGAGAAATAGACAGAAATCTTGGCTAAGCCATGTGCTTATTAGATGCCTGATCAACAATTACATCTTTTTCACAAAGTTAAAATGAAACATAAATAACAAAAAGAGTGAAAAATAATCACTTGCACATTAAAAACACAACTTAAACAATTATCAGAAACATTACTGTTAACAGTTTGATCCACAATTCTCCAAGTACACTTGTATGTTGAATCAGTATTTAACTCAGCTTTTTCAGCAAAGGTTTTAATTTTTTGCTCAGAAGTCACTCCCATATAAAAAAGAGTGTGCTGCACAATATTTTTAGACCAGGAGTTTGAAAATTTTTTGTCCTGACAGCTATAGTTACCCCATGAATGGATACATTCTAGAAAGAAAGTAGGATCGGGGTAAAGTAGTAAGTACTAGGACTAAATAAAAATTTAAATGTATATTAAATTTGTAAAATACAGTTAATATTATGAAATGCTCAAGGAATAATTATAATTATTCCTTATTTAATCATTTATCCTTTGTAAATTTAACATCTTAATTTTTAAAAACTAAAAACTGCAATTTGGCAGCAAGTATTGTAAGGGTTGGGAGCTATAACCAAATATTTTTGGGTACTCAGAACATATAAAATATTCCTAGGCTGTCTCATATGTTTGTACCTCAATTAGTATGTTACTAAGGTAAATGAGTCTCATTGAATATAATATTTATAAATATATGAATGATTGCATCATAAGCACAAATACAAATCAATATTCATGGCAATAATTCTAAGCAAGGCAAGTATTTATGAAATTTAGCAAGTTGTTGTAATAAAAGGAATGAGGAAACCAATTTAATCAATTCAGATCTGCTCCATTCTTGAGGAATCTCCATTCTGCCATAACTTGGATGATCAGGCTTGTGTCCCTCTTCTCTAAAGACCCCACCAAGGCACCCAGCCTGCACTAACCGTGAAGGGTTGTTCTGGAGCATGTTGACATACAACCCAATGAGAACATGTTCATCAGCCAGCCTGTCTGCAACATCGAGGCTATACTGTAACCTGAAACAGGGTTGAGGGGAGGAGGGTGCAGTCCGGACAGACAAAGAGAAATAAAACAGAGAAAGCAGGAGCAAGTAAGAGTGCGAAATGGGACTTTACAAATGCGTAGTCAATTGTTCTTCAGTTGTTACAAACCCAACCATTGCAGGTAGAGCTCAGGACAGAACTTAAGACAGCGGGCCTATAGAGCAAAGGTATCAATTTGCTAGTACAGTAAATACAGACCACCGACAAAGTTTTATAGGGCAGTGATGCTCAAGAACGTGCACAAACTAGCCTGGGATTAGTGCTGCTATGAAGCAGAATGTAAAAAAAAAAAAAAAAAATCTTACAAAAGTTGCTAATTTTATCTGCAAATCCTAAGCAAATATATTCAGAAACAATTTCAATAATAGTATATATTTTACTGTAGTGCTAATCTTTATAAGCAGAGAAGTCATGTTAAATGGTTCCCAGGAATGAAAACTTTCAAACAGCATGCAGATTACATGTGAAGAAGCTTGTGCTCATAAAATATTCTTTACATAAGGCAACCAAGTCTACCAGAGAGAAGGTTAAAGGTGGTTCATCTCGCTGATATGCTAGGTTTTCAGTGGAAAATATTTTTTATGGGAAGGAACAAATATATGATTTCTCCAAATGCAAGTTAAAAGGACAGAGTCCTAGGAACAGTATATTACATTACTGAATTGGAAAAACAGAATAGCTGTTTAAGATAAGCACATAATATGAAATCTGGATAGATACACAGCAAAATGTAGAATTATATTTTAAGAGTATATTCAAAAATCATTAAAATTGTATAATGTGTGCATGTGAACAACCTAATTCCTCTGGTGTGGCAATTAAAACTATGGTTATATTCTTAGTAAAATACATAATATATTGAAAGGAAAAGGCATTTGCTTTAGTTTTGTTAGTATAAGCTACTAATGCCTTTTGAAACTTACGCTTTGCCTTTCAAAAAAACTGGAACAGCCCTAGCCAACAATTTGTCCTGCTCTACTTCATTATTCTTGTAAGGTGAGCTAGTTAATAAGACAATAAATATTGATATCTAACTATTACTGAAACTTATTCACTAACTGAAACCTAAGTAATTTATAATAAAAATTATGAATAGCTATTTAAAACTAAGAACGCTTTTCCCAGTACAATCATCACAGGATTGCAGTCTAAAACTATAATTATAAAAAGTAAATATTGCATAAATGTAAAATAACTTGCAACACTTTCGCTACAGAATATTTTTCACAACTTTAAATGCCCTGCACACTAAATGATAACAACTTTGGAATAACTTGATAATAACGTCTTTAAATCAAAACAAATTCTAAAAAATATTTTTAAGAGTTGCTAACTAGGCATTGTATGGAACAAAAGTGAAAAATACTAACACTTTAAAAATAATTTTTTAATACAGGTTTTCTGCAGGAAGCATGGGAATGCAATAAAACACAGTTGTTTTGTTACCACAGAAAAATAATCTTCCCACATGGATATATTCAAGAAAATCTACATTAAACTGAAGAAGCACTTAATGAAGACTTTAATCTTAGAAAAGTATATTTATTTAGGTATCTCTGCACTGATAGTTCAATACTGTATTTTAAATTAATTAAAAATTAATTTCTTAATGCAGAGAATAAATATAATTTAAAAGGATTTTAAAAACATATTTCAAATGAAATGTATTATAAAAACCTGTCCCTGTTTCATTTTACTCCATTCCTATTTGTCAGTGCGAAACTGACTTTTCGTGACAGCTGCTGGCTATATAATTTGTATTATAGCCAAACTATATATGGCTGTATGTCATTCAAAATTGTGGATTCCTCTGTTTAAAACATAATACCAGAAGATGATATAAAGAGAAAAAACTTTATCTAATCCACAATGCAGTTAGTCCCAAATGAACTTTTTATTTATTTAATCCAACTGACTCTGCAGCTACTACATTAATATAACAGTGTGGACAGTTTTCATCCACTTCATTATATCATTGACATCTAATTCAGGAGATGAAGATGATCCAAAATCCCATGAAGTAAGTTTCAGTATGAACAGAAGTTGTATATGTGCAGGGGACAAAAGTAGGACATCCCTTTTTCATTTATGCTAGGGATATTTAAAGGGAAATTACGATGTACCCAAAGGGCAATTATCTCTCAGAAGAGCATCACTTCACAGGAACATTAGTATTTCCATCTGTGGTAAATGTGTCATGATAAATATAACTAGGAACCGAGAATAAAATGAGGTGTAAATTCTCTCTAATTTCTAAAATACCGTAATATTAATTCAAAATTAAATGCTAGTGTTTAAGGGCTAATTCTTTCTGGTATGAATATATCAATTTCCAATATAGCCAAAATCTGCAAGTGAATTAAGATGATCAAACCAAAGACATGATCGGCGTTATTAAATCCTACTTTAGAAATTTAGCAGAAAATATTTTAAACTTCAATCCTTTTGGAATTTGACATAGAATCTGCTTCTATACTGCTGATGAATATCATAGGTTCCATATATTTCTTCAACATGGTAGATGTCATCTCTTTCATATGTTGCATTCAATCTGGAGGCATTGTACTGGCAACAAGCTAAGACTCCAGAACACTGGAATGCTAAGAGATTCTGACATCTGCCTAGTTCCGTGGTGGCGAACTTATGGCACGTGTACCACAAGTGGCACGCAGAGCTTTCTCTGTGGGCACGCATGCTGTCGCCCCAGTTCTAGACTTTCAGCTGGGTTTTATAAAACCTTTTCGCTTTAGGCCTCTGCCATCGTGTGAAAAAAACCAAAAAAAAAAAGGTTCAATTTCAACTTTTCACGGGAAAAAGAAATGTCACAAAGTTGGAATTAATTGATTGAACTTTTTAGTCCCATCCAGTCTGCTGTTAGCACTGCAGCCATGCCCTCCCAATGGGCCACACCCACCCAATGGGCCACGCCCACCTGGCACCCGACTATACATAAGTGGATTTTGGGTTGCAGTTTGGGCACTCAGTCTCTAAAAGGTTCGCCATCACTGGCCTAGTCCATTCCAGCATCTTACTACCAACATAAAGCAGAATTCAGCAGCATTTTACTCAAGGTGATGGGAATCTTACTGTAAATAATAAATTTAATTATTTTTATAAGATTCCAAATTGTATATATATTGAGATAAACATCTGTGAATAACGCAATGCAGTGATCAACAGTTGCACACTAAAATTAATTTCCTACTAAGCAATGGAGAAGGCATACATACAGTGGTGGGATTCACACCGGTTCAGCAGAACCAATACCTAATTTTTTGTTGAGTTCGGCGAACTGGTTATGATCATCTGTCGATGTCAAAATTAAAAAAGCAGGAAACATCACCTAGGGAAGATACGCTATTCTGGACTCCTTTTAACATTCTGGGAATGTCACAAGGTAAATTACCTTCGCTTTTCAACAGTGATACAAATAAAATTTTACCGGATTTCCTCCAGAGTTTCTGTCGGGATTCGTGGAGTCCTCAGCCATGCAGTGGGACCTAGAGCCACCCGCACTGACCGTTCAGATCCGATTCCCTTTGTTCCTACTTTGTACTGGATTCAATCCTGCGCTGCCCCGTGTAGAGCTTGGAACACTTCTGGCCACTGCCATGCCTCTTTGCACAGGGAAGGCATAACCTAAACACCGTCCCCATGAAAGGACTTCTGGAGCCACCATGGCCTGCCCCCTCCCCTCCTTTCCCTCTGCAGACTGCCCCAGGCTGGCTGGGAGCCATTGTACAATTTCGTGGTGACCATGCATGCTGGAACACATTCAATCTTAGCTCCACAAGAAACAGCTCCACAAGAAACAGCAAAGGACCTGCCCCCGCTGTGTCAGCCCTGCACCCTGTTCACTCAGGCAGCTTTGGCTTCTCACCAGCTTCATGCTGCCCAGCCCAGCCTCTTGACTCTGTGAGGACAGCGCCCCGCTGCCTGCCAAAATTGGGCAGGCTGGGGACTGGGCGGTGTTGCACAGGTAATGACTCTCACGCCGCTTGTGGCATCCCCTCTCCTGGAGCCCACCAAGCCAGATATGTGAAGTAGGCAAGGGCCATTTGCTGGCCCCTTCCAGGAGATGGTGCATTTCTTCATTCCTCACAAAGGGTGACTCCTCCCCAGCTGCGTTTCTTGCCTGTTTTTCTCCCTTCCTCGTCTCAAATATTTTCCTGCCACTCTGCTCTTAAGTAAGTAAGTAGGTAAGTAAGTAAGTAAGTAGATGGGAATGAGAAAGAGGAAGGAAGGAAGGGAAGGAAGGAGATGGGAATGAGAAAGAGGGAGGGAGGAAGGGAAACAGGAAGGAAGAAAGGAGATTGGAATGAGAGGGAGGGAGGGTCTGAGGGAAGTCCTGCCTTAGTCCTGCCCTGCTGCCCTTTCACCATCCCCTTTCACCATCACCCTGCAGTGACCGCCCCCCGACTTGTTTGCACTGCCGGTGGCCGCCACAATGAGCAAAAAAGCCTGAGAGCAGCACCGTGCATGGTGAGGGGGCACAGGACTTAGGAATAAATGCTTCATCTCTCTAGTTTCCCAACTGGTGCATACAGGAGGCCACCAAGTATTAGCTGGGGTTGTGGCAGAGAACCGATTATTAAATTATTTAAATCCCACCACTGCATACATAGTAATAAATATATATGAAGTACAGGAATTAAAATAACATGAAATAAAGGAGAATTTAACTTTCATGAAGGGAAAAATACTATCTAATCTATGTGTTTCAGCTTGTCATTTATCTGATTTCATTTCAAACACTTCTAGTAAACATATTTATTTTCAAATATTATAGTAAGAAACCTACTGTCCCAGAGATCTATTTAAATCTTGAGGAAACAAGTCACTATCTGCTTCAATAAGGGAGCAATATAGACTAACCCAGCATTGCACTAGTTAAAGGCTTTGCGTCATACAAATAAAGCTGATTTTTAAAACGTATTTCAGGACCCAAAATACAGTAAAATATTGCAGAAGATTGAAATGGGATCAGATCAAATTTCTCTTTTCTTAGGCATCAGCTAAAAAAGCTAAATTACAGTTGGGTGTTTGTAGCAGTTGGTTCAAGTAGAAATTGGGGGAAGGTATTTGGTTTTTAATTTTGATATGTCTGTTTGGGAGCTTATACCACGTTTTTCAACAATTTCCCACTTTAAAGGACAGGAAAGTTTTAGCAATAATGCACAAAGAATCTAAAGGCTGCAAAAAGAGAATCCAATGAGTAAGCCTGAAGACTGACTACTCCTGATCTACTTCATAACCTTCAGGTGTAATGGAGGTAGCTAGGGTTTCTAGGAATTGCTTTGAATGCTGCTGAAGAGTATCAGATTGCAAAGACTGAATTGGCTTAATTCTTTAAGTATTATTCAGGTTATGAGTATCTACCAGAAATTGATTAAATGCATTCACCATGTTCTCATTTATTTTTAAGTGCAAACTTGGTAGACTCTTTGCTTTGTCACTTAACAGCAAGATCCACTTTACTGCTTCTGAAATTTTTGTGTTTTAACTTCAGAATACTGTTATTATATATATATATATATATATATATATATATATATATATATATATATATATATATATTAAAATCAATAAATAGTTGAACACCAAGAGAATAAAATTATACAAAAGTTAAAAATGTTAAAACTTTTATTTACTAAACCTAGCTTTCGTCAAGAGCTCTTGACATCATCAGGGTGTAAACGGCAGTCGTTGGGAGGGCTTATATGCAGCCTCCAAGCGCAAATGATTGGAGGCTGCATATAAGCCCTCCCAACGACTGCCGTTTACACCCTGATGATGTCAAGAGCTCTTGACGAAAGCTAGGTTTAGTAAATAAAAGTTTTAACATTTTTAACTTTTGTATAATTTTATTCTCTTGGTGTTCAACTATTTATTGATTTTAATATGAACATACCCAAGAGTCATATTTTTATTTGCATAGCTGATATATATATATATATATATATACACACACACACACACATACACATACACATACAAAACATAGAGTTGTTTGGACACTCAGAACAAATTACATTATACTTTGAATTCTGCCTATAATGTTTTATCAGATGTGAAAGTAGGCTGTTCCTTCATTTGATTTCTTTTTTGTGGGTGGCTGTGGGGTGTGTAGGAATATGTTTAGAATAATTTGATGCAATATGTAATAATATAGTTGGATATACAGTATGTATGAGAATGGAGAAAGGTTCAACAAAATGAATCTACATATATTACATTCCTTTAAAACCATATGTTGTGAAAATGCATACTGTTTTACTGATACTGCAGTCCTATACCAGTTTATTTGGAAGTAAATTTATATAGTTAATGGACATTTTCCCTGTTAAAAATATATAGAATTGTGATCTTAACTTTATGAAACATCTATAAAATCTGATTCAAATTAGGCACATTTCACATATGGAGTATTATATGTTTCTTTGAAAAATGAATAGATTTTACAAGAACTCTTATTGTACAGGTAAGCACATTAGACCAACAGGTCAGTATATTCAAACTTTCATCATGCAAGAATGCCCGGCCAGCTATTTCTAAGAATCTCAAAGGTAGGACATTGAGGATATTTAAACATAATTGCTGCATGCGTGAATAAGACCTGTACCTTGGGAATTCTTCTGAGAAAATAACTATTGGAAGTAAAATGAAAGACATCATTAATAAGATTAGTCAAACTGGATAATTGAAGGGGGAAATATTTATTTACTACATTTCTAGGACACCCAGACAACTCTGGACAGCTATACAAAACACAATAAAATATAAAACAATATAAAATCAAGCATAAAAAAATAACAAGTATATATAGAGAAACCGCCAAGAGGCACAACATATAACCACTGCATTCATTACTAAAAGAGGACTTGCCCAACCTGCATAATCCCAGGCCTAAAAACATAACAAAGTTTTTAGAGATACTTTGAAGGCTGGTAAGGGAGGTGAGCAACACACTTGGCAACCAGTGAAATTCACATAGTAGGAGCTAAGAAAAATCCTTAGGACCAAGAGGACCAAATATTCAGACTTGTTAAGGTTGAGCATAACCCTGTTCATCCTCATCCATGCCTCAACAGCTTCCCATTCACTTGGAGAAGTTTGGATAGCATTGCTTTGTTTGCTAGTGGTTGAGTTGTATAACTGGGTACCATCTATATATTGATGATACCTGACTCCCAACTAATGACCACAGGTAGAAGTTAAACAGGAGGGGCAAGAGTGTTGACCCCTGAGTCACCCCACAAAATGAGGGCTTTGGAAGTCAACCTCCCTACTCCTATCAACACCAACTATAACCATTCACAAAAAAAGGAGGAGTATCACTATAACAGATATCCTCCATTCCATACCCTGCAGCTGGTTCAGAAGGATAATCTGACTGGTATTAGCAAAAGCCCCAGTCGAACTATCGTTCTGAACCAGCTGCAGGATAGAATGGGGGACACAGTGTTATAGTGGAATTCCTCCTTTCTCTGTGAATGGTTACAGTTGGTCAGGTTGCTTGTAGCATCACCATCCCGGCCTTCCCATAACTCATCAAACTCTGTCTCAGTTTCTATATCCTAACTTGAAACCTAACTGAAAAGAGTACAGATAATAAAAGGAGGTTGGAAAATGGGTGGAAATTTTCCAGGGAGGTTGGATTTAGCAATGTCTTCTTAACAAGGAGAAGTACTACCACTCCTTGGCAGGTGGGACCACCCCATCTTGTGGATGTAGATGTCACTGAATTGACTCAACCACCTATCCCCTCTGAAACAGCTTTCAGAAAACATGGGAGGCAAAGTAAGGCAATAAATAGGTAGTTGGGTTCACAAGCCTCAAGAGTTCATCCATTTCTTCAGAAGTCAAAGGATCAAACTTGTTCCACTTAACTGGGCCAGTTCATAGTTCTATTATCTCATTTGTATTTGCCTGGTTAGAGTTCAATTTTGAGCAAATCTGAGTGATTTTACCCACTGGATATCTAGAGTATTCTTCCCAGGGGCCCAAAAGATGTTCTTGTGGTTCATCCCTGCCTATCAAAAAGTGGGATAACCAAAGAAGGTAGTGATCTGTTAACAGCAGATATGACAAGGGAAGAGAAATAACTATATTTCACCAATCTTATTAATATGATGTTATCCTTAATATTACATATGCTTGGTTGTATTTGCTCTCTATTTTCCTCTAATAGCATTCTGTCTCTTCTGAAAACACTTCTCTGGTGTTTCAGCTCCTGGAGTTATTCAAAGAACCAAAGAACCCCATAGGAACAATCTAATCTAAGGCTTCAGTCATCCACCTGTTCCGGTTAATCACCATGATTAACCCATGATGGTTAATCAGACAACCCATCAGATCCTTGGGCAAAACCTCAGATACTATTTGAAACCCTAATGAGTTCATTAGGTGCTTTGGGTGGACTGACTGAAAATGTCCTACCTCCATATGGAGAAGGGGAGCACTAAAAAGCAATCAGAGGGTTATATGACTATGTTACAAGAGTGAAAGTGATGTCTTTAGATCAATTTCCAACTGTCCTGAAATAAAAATTAGAACACGCATGATGTCTGTCAAGGATTAGTCACTCAATAATTTAGGACAGGTCCATGGCTGTATTGATGGAGCAATCATGGGTCTTGAGGATTTAACTGCCAAGCTAGCCATGAAATCCAGTAGCTCAGGCAGGGATGTCACAGTGCAACAGAGAGGCCAATGGAGCAGTAATAAACCTAGCTGCTTCCTGGAATGCAGCAAACCCAAATCCTTTGTGTATGTTGTGCCATTATCAATAATAATAACAACAACTACTGTAAATTACCCATACCTAGCATCAGCTAATAATAGTATTTAATACATTGTGCATTTGAATACTTACTTTATACAAAGTGTAAGTTAAACATTGGAAATTTCAAATTAACATGGAATTAATTTGAAGCCCAATTCAAACTACAAAAATATTCTTTATTTTAAAAAAAGAAAAGCCTACTTCTTTAATTAGTATTCTTAAGGAATGACAAATATGTAACATATTGGTTTTAGTGTACAGGTTACAAAACTACATCAATTAGTAGTTTAGAGCTCTCATACTGACCGTGAATTGTTGTGTAGCTTATTTACATACAGGTTTATAATAGCATGCTCATCAACCACCGGACTGTCTATATTTATACTCTCAAGTAACCTGAATGAGTTAAACAATGAAACCTCATTAACAGGATGTATATGCAGAAATACACATTGGGAACATATATGATGGGGATTTAATGCATCCAATTGAGTTCCACTGCAGAAAGACTACTGCCTTTAAATAATAATGTATAAACATGTTTTTCAAGTTAAGAAGACCTAGGAATAAAAATAATTAGAAGATACTACTAGTTATATCACTGAGTGAGAGGAAATATTCTTAAGTGTAAAAAAAATCCCAACAATTGATTTATCATGTCATAGGGTATCAGTTGACACTCATACAACTTACAAAAGGGGTTTTGCCATTGTAAGAGATTTGTGAAGCCCCAATAATTAAGGAAGTGTAGCTTACATATTCTTCATAGACACTCCAACAAGCAAATTAAACACACAGCACATTGACTATGATTATTTCTTTATATGCCTTTATACAGTATCTTTACTGTGTTTATGATGAGTCACAAAGGAGTGTTGTACAATCAATGTGATTCTGGGCAAAGTAACAAACACGGTTTACAATATTAAACTGCATGGCGCACACATATAGTTTTCCGCAAAACATGCATGGAGTGACTAGATGCCATCTAGACTGATTGTGAGATTGGGATTTTTTTAATGGGATCTGGCTGTCACTTAACTTGAACTAGTTATTCTAACTTTGATGTCTTATATATGTTAATCCTGATTGTGGATATTTATTAACACAAAACTTGTTTAGATTTGGCCAGTGTCATTCCAAGGCAATCTGAGTGCTTCCTTGTCCTCAGTGATGAATGAAAAACCCGAACTATTTTATTTTATTTGTTTATATTTTAAAGCAAATATAGAGAACTTTTTGGTGTCCTGGAGCTTCATTTAACTTTTGGGGAGGTAACAAGAGATGCAGCATGCAAATCAATATTTTAAAGTGATGAATGCATCATTACACATTGTCAAACTGGAATTTTCAGTTGAATCTCCCCCCCCCCGATTTCTCAGAGGGGAAGAAATAGAGGATTTTTCTCTACAAAATCTACATCTTTTTCAGGGTTTACACCATGGTAGTTTCCTTTTTAAAAAATAAGTTCAGTATTTGAATTAGCCTTGGAAGTGCAAATCACCAAAACTTATTTTAAACAAAAAAAGTAAAAGGGTACTTTGCTTACTTTGTACTATCTTTTCATAGTAATATTTAAAATTAAAATAAACAATCCTGCATTTAATTATATGCAATGTGTTTTTTTAAAAAACCCACTCACCTTCTGTTTGTGAAAGGACTTCCTGAGGGAACAGAGTGGGAGAATAGTGTGTCATTCATGCTGGTGACTGGTCTAGGAGGCCTTGGAAGAAAATAGAAAGTCAAAAAATGTCTTGTTTGTAAACAACAGCGCATGAAATAAAAAATTTAAACATATGTGAATACGATCAGTCAATAATACTGCAGGATGTCCTGCAATTATACTTTTCTTCTACATTAAACATACAAAAGTTTTATATTTTATATTTTTTACATAGAAGGCTGAATGTTAGAAATACATTCTTTTCAAGTCACCCAGGCAAATTCTCTGCAGTCTTTTTTTCTTTACTTTGTTCTTCTTTTTGGGGGGTAATTTTCCCAAAAAAGCTCACAGAAATGTTTGATACGTTAGAAATACTGAATTTCTTCAAAAGACATTAAGTTATTTGACAGAACATTTGTCCATTTTTGAATGGCCAAGTAGGTCTACTTTGAACTCCTAATTAGGCATTCAAAAGGACAAGTACTTATCCTGTAAGGCTAAGCCAGTGTTTCAATTTTGACAGCTTGAAGATGTAAATTGGGGAATTCTGGGAGTTGAAGTTCATATATTTTCAAGCTGCCCAGGTTGAGAAATACTGGTATAAGCATTTCCATTAAGTGCCATCTCCCTCCAAATTACATCAAAATTCATAAGACATCCACTCAATAGTTATCTGCAAGGGAAAGATAGTGACTTCTGTGCGAGGAAGGTTCCTGATAATATTTTATTCCTAGCCATGTAGAAATTAATATATTTCTGACAGCATATGTAACATCTTTCATATAGCAGACATCTATTACTATAATTTGAGCAAAGGTGGTGACCTGAAATAGCTTACAAATTCTAAATACATGGAAATAGCCTATACATTCCAATAGCTGGAAATGTATTTTCTTTGTGACTATCAGAAAAAAGGGGCTTCAGAATATACTTGAAATAATCATCTGATCTCTTCTATATTTTAAGACAGTTTATTCATACAGCAAAAAAAGAGAAAATAAAAATATGTACTGTAGGTATTACATATAACTGATTAATATGTGCAGTAGAACCTATTTTTTAGAAAATGTAAATCAGGGGTCTTCAAAACTTGGCCCTTTTATGACTTGTGGACTTCAACTCCCAGAATTCCTCAGCCAGGCATGCTGCCTGAGGAATTCTTGGAGTTGAAGTCCACAAGTCATAAAAGGACCATGTTTGAAGGCCACTGATGTAAATTATACTTGAAAGGCAGACAGTATTCAACAGTTTGTATGAGTTTCCCAGCTGGTTATCTTTTAATTAATAATTTAAAATTTTGTTTCTTCCTCATTAAAATGCTTGAAGAGATAATGCATTACTTACCAGGTGTCTCTTTTGCAGGCAAAATAAAAGTAAGAGAACCTTATTAGTTAAATGCAGTCTTGTCTTTAAAAAACAGTGGAGGAACTTATAGCTAATATTCTGATCTTGCAAACAAAGTATTAGTAAGGACTGTGCTGATTTGCCATGTTGAAGGACAACATGATTGTTCTTACATGTAGAGTATTTCAAATGCTATAAAATCAGAACAATTGCATACTTTTGCCATGGGACTAATTCCTGTTATTTGAGGAGATTTCTAATGGGAGGTTTCTTTCCACTTCCTGTAGTCCTCCATATTTTCTCAGAACCATTTCAAAATATTCCATAGCTTATAATATTTACTTTTGTTTAAATTCTGATGTTACAGAGTGAATTTGTGAGGGAATATGCAAAAATATAGGTAGTTTTACAGAAAGAAGAAGGAGGAAGAAGAGGAGGAGGAGGAGGAGGAGGTTAGTTCTCAATACTAATGGCATCCACTCTTCCCCTTCCTTTCTTATAAATGTCCCCTTTCATTTTAGAACAGATTTTTGAGGCAATTGGAAAGTTAAAGTTAATGTGGGAATGTTGAAAATCTATGTAATGAAACTAGAACAGGTAGAGATACACAAGGGCCGGGAATGAAAAAAACATGGAATTTATTTTAGAAGATTAATGCCTTGGATTTTTTTTTTGAGCAGGACCTCCACCTATGCATTATGTAATACATGAGGGAATATATTATACTATAAACTGCAATTGAAATTAGAGAAATTCCAAAAACAATTTGTGAAATGGTATGGAACTACCTTGAACTTTGATGTGCATAAATTGGTATTTTCAATTCCTTCAGTATATGTTACATAAACAGGATAATAAGACACTCTGATAATTAACAATAGTCACAGAAAAATATGTTAAATGCTATAGATCAGGGGTGTCAAACTACCGGCCTGCAGGCCGGATGCGTCACATGGAAGCCACACCCACCCCATTGCTAGCAATGGCAACACCGGTCTGATACGTTGCGCAACGTCACGTGACATCGTGAGTTTGACATACCTGCTATAGATTATCCTTCCTATTCTACACACTTCTCTACACACAATTCTCAACATTATCAGTAATGATGACCATGTGTCTGGGACATTCTATGAGATCTTGAAGATACACAGACTGTACATATCCCAATTAGTCACAGACAGCTGTTCAAACTGGAAAAGCAGTATAAAAATCTCAGATAGTTATATGTGTAAACAAAATCAATTACTTATATATTGAGAGACGTATTACTTGTTTTTCCAATGAAGGTCCCTCATGAAAATATTAATATCAGCATGTACGGTGTTAAATAAAGAATTAGTCTCTTTATGTGCAGCATTATAAAACAGAAAAATTAAATCAATTTGATTGCTGACAACATTTATTTTCATGTAATTGTTGACAGTGGGGAAAGTGATTTTTCTTTACATGAAGTTTAAAGGGGGTTCTAAATGTGATAAAAAAATCACAGTGTTTCCCTAGAGCTATTTTTCATGACAACATGTATCTAATAACATTTAAGATTAAACTTTACTGACTTTATTTAGTATATCTTTTCTTTACTGCTAATTTATATTGCATTATATATGATACTGTTTTTGCAACTTATTTGGTTTTACATCCATATTATTATTTTAAACAAAGATTTTCAATTTCATCCAGAAAAGTAAAATAAAAAAGCAGTATCACTGTCAATGAAAGACACAAGGAAGGAATCGTGTGAAAGGAGTAATTAGGCCATATTGCTGATTTTAATAAGTATTAAAAGGTACTGTTTTGCTTCTTTGTTCACACCATGGTATACTTTCTTGGATTTAACTATATTGGCCCATATCAGCTATAATCAATTGAGATAAATTATGAAGTATTTATATTATTATAAATTATAAATATTATTTATAATATTATAATTAATCTATATAAAAATACAGCAGCAAACGATCAGGGTCTATGACTTAGAACATTTATCCTAAATCCTAGCTTATTCATTTATTTCTAAAATTTATAGCCTGTCCTATACCCAAGAGCTTCATTTTGTTTTCTCTTTTTCAGATTTATTTTGTAGGCTGAAAAAAAAGCTCTTTTTGAAAGCCAAATCTACTATGCAGCAGAGTATGGTGACTTGCATCCAATGGCATCTTGTTCATGGGAAAAAGAGCTGAAGGCAAGAAGTAACTAAGAAGTTGCACTGCTAGAAGTGTTGGCCTTAGAAATGGGATTTCAGTAGTGATGCCATTATTATTTACAGATTTTTTCATATTACAATTTTACATGTTGACATATATTAATTTCATACTCAGTTTCTAGGAGAGATTGCTAATTGTCTTAGACCTTAAAATATATTCATTTTGATGTTAAATCTACTATGTAGCTGTTAACCAGCTCATGGGTTTGACTAAAATATCATAAAGCTGTATTTCAAAACTTACTACAGATTAAGGATTGCCTGAGTTCAGTTTTTAGACCTTATTAACATGCTTTAATTTGAATCTATAAACTAATGTAGCTATGCAGTTCTTCAGGTTTGTTTTTAAAGAGGTTCATTAGAACCACAGGGGAACATAAACATAGCACATCTAACTCATTAAAACAGACTCTTTTTCAGCATCACAGAGCTGCAACAGAAGCTCCCTCTAAGCAGGTGCGCAAAACAGATGAGGCTGCTTTAATGAACTGTGAATAGACGTTGCATTCATGCTCCCTGTGTTCAGCACTTTGAGTCTAAAGCAGGGTGTCAAACTGCCAGCCCGCGAGCCAGATGCCATGCCCACCCCATTCCCGCCAATGACAAAACCGCCCCGATAGGTTGCGCGATGTCACATGATGTCGCGAGTTTGACATGTCTAGTCTAAAGCATTACACAGCTCAAAAAAACTATAGTATTCTATTAAATTATTCTTATAGCTGTTTGCTTTTCATTTCATTTAAAGGATCTTTTATCAACAAAGCTAAACTATCTAATTTGTTTTATTTCCTAAGAAAGCAAATCAGTTTTGGGGTTGTTCATTTCATTCAGAGCAAATTTCTTAAGGAAGTTGCAAATATGTTTTCCACTGTTTGAAAAACACTGTGCATTTCAGCTCTTTAATACAGCTTCTAAAAATTTCCCAGCAGGCTTTTGTTTTTGGCTGATAACTTCATTGATCAACCTTATAATAGTTCATTTCTAATTATTAATTATTGCATAGTATTTAATATCTATCCAAATGTCTTTGTGTCAAAGCAAGTTAAGTGAACTCCAACCTCCAATCAACCACAGAGAATTACAATATTATATGTAATCTAATATTACTTGCACTTACACATAAGAAACAGGAGCAAGTGTAAATGCCAAAAAGTATTGTATTAAATACAATATCAAAACTAAAAATAAATTTTTATAGTAATATCCAAATTAATTAGGTTATAGATATAATGAAAAAAATGGCTGCTATAATAAAACTATTAATGAACCCCAACTAGTATTATTTGTCTTTTCTCTTAGTCTTCTTCTCAAGACCATTTAGATACATAATTTACCATTTAGGAGCTCCTAGAAGCACAGAGCCGAAAACACCAGCCTGAAGAAGACGAATGGGACTTCGTTGAAATGTCGCCAAGACACTTCCAATTTTACGTGGGAGAAAACCCGAATAACCAAAGACCTACATACAGACACCCGCAAAAACCTCAGAATATATATATACATACATACATACATACATACATACACACACACACACACACACACACACACACACACACATATATATACCCTCAAATATATATATATATATATATATATATATATATATATATATATATATATATATATATATATATATTGGAAAATTTGCATAAAAATACGACTCCTGGGCATGTCTATGGTACAAATAAAATACGAACACCAGGAGAGTATAAATATAAAAATATACTTTACTAAAAGCTGCCAAGCTTTCGTTTGGAAACTCCAAACATCATCAGGGCTAAGGAGCCAGTAAACAATGATGACTTAAATGGGTTTTGCCGGCATCTGCACCCGGCTCATGGATCACGCAGCAAACAAATGGAACGGTGGAGAACTGTTGACACGAAGATTGCCAGGACGGAGGAGGGGGGTATAGACCCCCAAATATGTAACACCCGTATGAAAGTTACTCATGACAATGGAAGAGTGAGAAGAAAGGCTGTGGAGCAGGGATTGAGAAAAACGTGTGTGTGGGGGAGCGTCTGTGAGCCCAGGGAAGCTTGTAACACTGATAGAGGAGAAACAGATGCCCCCAGGGTGGAGAATGAAAACAAAAAGGGGAGGAGGGTCAGTGCTATGGAAGGAAATAAGGATAAAGGGGTGGTGGAGGAGATGAATACCAGTAATGAGATAGTGGAAGGAATGATCCGGAAGAACCATAGAAGGAAGCGTAAGGAGAGTAATAAAGAAACATCTGGAACACTAATTAACCGGCCGGGACCGGTGACGCGGTCCATGAGCCGGGTGCAGATGCCGGCAAAACCCATTTAAGTCATCATTGTTTACTGGCTCCTTAGCCCTGATGATGTTTGGAGTTTCCAAACGAAAGCTTGGCAGCTTTTAGTAAAGTATATTTTTATATTTATACTCTCCTGGTGTTCGTATTTTATTTGTACCATATATATATATATATATATATATATATATATATTCAGCTATGCAAGTAAAAATATGACTCTTGGGTATGTTCATATTAAAATCAATAAATAGTTGAACACCAAGAGAATAAAATTATACAAAAGTTAAAAATGTTAAAACTTTTATTTACTAAACCTAGCTTTCGTCAAGAGCTCTTGACATCATCAGGGTGTAAATGGCAGTCGTTGGGAGGGCTTATATGCAGCCTCCAATCATTTGCGCTCGGCTCTTGGATCGTGTCATAGGTCCCAGCTGTGTGCGTTGTAATCCAAGTGTGTGTCCTGCATTAGGGTGTAGTTGTTTCTCACCCTTTCTACGTGTGCTGTTACATGTGTCTTTCTCGCTAGTTCTAAAATTAGCTGGGGTGTTTCCCCTTTCCTTGCAGTTAGTACATGTTTCACTAGTTTCCCGTTTGTGATTCTGTCTGTCATGGGCAGTAATTGCTGTTTTCTGCTTCCTTCTAGTTCCTCCAACCATCCCCTCCGAGCCACATTCCAATCCTCCTTTTCTCTCAGATCGTAGCCCCCGTGTGCCATCCCGTCCTGCACCGCTCTCCCTCCTAATCCTTTCCATCACTCCCTTAGATCTATCATCACTCTCCTCCCTATATTCTTGGGAGGAGTTGTTCTGAAGTGTGTGCCTGTCAGTAAGGCATTGCCTAGCTCGTAACCGGTCAATCCGTTGCTCACTCCATTTGGGGCTTCTGTCCTCATCCCTCATCGGAGAATCTCCCAGGCACGCTCCGTTCGTAGTCTTCTGTCCTCCCAAGGGATCAATCACCACAGAGCTATTCCCCTCCCTCTCACAAACCAGCCCAACTAGCGTAACGAGGGTGTCTGTTTCACTCCCCGGGGGGTAAATCATTCCCCCCGGCATGTGTGATTGTAGTCCGAGAGCTCTATCGTATGCTGTATTTCCTATTCCTCCCCCCACAGTTGTTATCTCCGTTTGTATTTCTCCTATTGTACCGATTGGGAGGGCCTCGCTCTCTCTTTCCTGCTGCAATTCAGTTGTCAAAGCACCTCCACTCGCTCCATTCATCGGGAAGTTGTTCCATAATTGACAGTCAGGTTTCTGGTGGCTGTTTGTCATTTGTGGGGGATTTTTCAAAGTTCTACCGTCTTGGTCCGAAGCCAAGGGAATGTCCATTTGGTCGTGTTGTGTGTGGGGGGATGTCCTATTCTTCTCCCACACATGTGGTCGATGCCTAGGTCTTCTCCAGCAGTTCAAGCGACGGTTCATGTGCCATGTTTGTAAGGTCCGTTGTGCCGGGCACATGTCTATATGGCGATTAATGGAATTCCCCCCCGAAAACCAGGCCTCCTTTAATAGGCGGCCCCCCTTTGTGGCATCACAGGCCAAGATTTGTGTGTGGTCAAAATCAAAGTTATGGCCACTTTCGGCCATATGTGACCAGATCTGCGAGTATTGCTCGCCCCTCTTGATTGCCAACTTATGTTCATGTAGGCTGGTATATATATATATATATATAGCGGATATATATATATATATCCTCAATATAGAATCTTATTATTGATAAAGAACCAAACTAAATTACTTTATAACTTATGCTAACTTTGCTGCATTAAAATTAAAATTTATTAAATTAAATTATTTTTAAATTTATAGTGACAATTCCCAAATGATAAACTGTAGAGTTTATTTCTCAACAAAATAATGTAATTTTGTGATTTAATTCAAGCATTTAGTTTTTAAAAACTTTTAAAAATTAGCTGCTGCTTTTGTCAGTTAGTTACACATAGGTGAATAAGTTCTAAAATTATTATACTTATTATAGCATTAATGCAATTTTGTAAATCATAATATTAGGTGGTTTCTTTCTATTTAACCTTAAACAAGGACAAACATCATATAGAACAAAGAACATGCAAATACTTACACTATATGTGCCAAGTTTAGAGGTTTTTCAGGCTGATTAGGGAACATTGGATGCAAGGGTTCATGGCTGGAAGCACAGCTTAAAGACTTGCTAAGTGCATTAGTTAACTTCTTAGCAGGTGATTTCTGGGAGAAACAAGAAAGGTAAAGGTAGTTTGGATAGATAAGGACTGTATACTGTTGTTGCCAGCAGTAGAAGGATAAGAAAACAAACAAAACAAATCAATATTCTGCTGGTTACAATCATGCATAAACTCCCAAAGTCCATTTATTCTGTGGTTCTGGATGATTTCATCAGCATACACTTATATATCTATCAATGGACCTTAAAGAGGGTCTGACTTTTACAGAGGACATTTGGCATATAGATACAGTATTTCCCAATTCACCTTTCATCTTTCCTTGTGTGAAAGAATGCAGAGGATACAAGTGAATCCCAAACTTGCCAAGAAACTTCATTATTCTAAAAGCATAAATCTCTAAATAACTGCTAATGAAAAATCAGATCTGGAAGCTAATCGTAAGGATTATAAAACAACTAAGAAGAAAACAGAGATACAGAACCACATTTTTCTACTTTTCTACGGGCCACTCATCATTCAGATATATTTCTGCTTTACAATGTCGGATAATAATGTCTAAGAAGTGAGAGCTCATAAGCCATAGCAGAATCAGATCTTTCATTCACTGCCCACTTAATGACCAATCTAACTGGTATTGCTAATCACCCAATCAGAGATTCTCAGTTTTTAATTTTTATTTGTGATTACAAAATGAGAAGCATCAGCTTCTTATACCACACTTTTTGTACTGCAAACTTTAATTTTTATCTAGTATCTGTAGTACAAGTACCATTTTTAGTGTGGCTATTGCATCCTTTCTAATAATACAGCTGTGATCATCTCAGAATGTGTAGAGACAAAGAGATTTCATTTTCATAATGCTTTCTCTGTCATTGAGTTTAATCTACAACCTAATTATTCCGCAGTTGTTGAATATCTTATTGATCTAACAGAATTACTAGGAATACGTGCATAGATGTCTATCACATGTAAGTTTGAATCTAATGAATTAAATTAATTTAGCTGTGGCTTATATTAGCAGTAGAGTGGATCACAGATATAATTTTAGATACATGTGGAAAATGGAGAAAGCCCATATGAATACGTTCAGTTGAGTATAAAGTAGAGTTCATGCACTAGAACTTATATGAAAAATGCGAACTGCTAAGGAGCAGTTAAACAAGTGGGCTAAATATATAGCATATATATATTTACATCAACATCTAGTGGAGTTTAGTAGTAAATCAGTAGTTTTCATAGTTCTACACACCATCATTTAGGTATGCATGTATTAAGAGCATAGGTATATCTTTATGCATTTGTATATTTGTGTAAATATATATGCATATATATATGCATATGCATATGCACATATATACATATACATATACATACATACATACATACATAATTTCTTATTATATATAGCAAGCAACAAATAGAAAAGCCAACATATTGACTATGTCCTACAAAAATTAGTAACTTACTGTGGAAATAATTTTATATTCCAAGATCCTCCTGCAGCTGTTCTGTTATCCAACTAGTTTAACCTGTTACACTGCTCAGATCCACACTGATGGTAGTAGCCACACTATTCAGTTCTTCCCATCTGACATTTTAAAACTGATTGAGCCAGGAACCCAGACAGGGCTTCTCCATTACAGAAACTTCTAGTATCTTGGCAACAAAATCAGCTTCTTATATGTGATCTTAAGGAAAATAATTCAGTCATTTCTAAATCTCTGACTGCTAAGTTCAAACAGTCTATAGTAATTTATGAAGCTTCCCTTACCCATGACGTGTATTCTTTCATTTGGTGTTGGTTGCTATGGGAACCACTGGCATGTCCCCTCCAGAAGCAATCTTGACAGAGCTGGTAATTGTGACACTGCTGGCATCGGTAGCGAAATCCCATCATGCTCTCACTATGGCAATAGGAACACTCAACAGGGTGGAAGACTGCAGGGGGGATATATATTCAAACCAAATAAAAGAATTAATCAGCATACTGTTAAAACTGAAGCTATTAAGAAGTATTGGAAACATCCTCTTGTGATGTTTTTTCAAAATAAGATTTATTTCTAAATCCTTACAATTTTCTCTCAATGAATCATCTGGTTCTAAGAGGGAAACTACAGCAAAAATATGAAAGAAAATATTAGGGGAAGAAATCTACTAAGTTCACTTTGGAAAGAAAAGAAGATATAGATCAAAGATGCAAGAATAATGGTTCCATTTGGTAGATGACTGATTTTGGGGTATCACACCAGTTTTACAAAGATAAGAGGAGACAAAAATGAAATGCCTATGCTATAGGAATTTAAATACATTCCAAACAATCTTTTTTTTCAGTTCCGTGGGACCATAAATTAAATCCAGACAAGACAATACAACTGTAATTAGTAGAAAAACAGTCATGGTGATCTGAATTCAGTCTTTTTAGATGGGACTCCCTGCCCGTTGAAAGAGTAACTGCAATCTTTTCAATGTTGCTAGAAGTCCAGATGGAATAGTGCCAAGGAATGGCTTTCCATGACTACATCTAGGGCACCAACTAAGCACTCAGAGATAGTTACAGCTATGTTCTTATTTTGTTTGCATAGTGACTAGACTTTCAATATATTCTATATGGGACTAAGCTTACATTTATCTGGAGACTTGAAATGATACAAAGCACAGGAAGTAGGTTGCCAGTCACAGCACAGTATGAGAACCATAACACCTCTGCCTATTGTTATTTTCCAAGTATAACTTACATTAGTTATTTTAAATGTTAATTTTAACATGTAAAACCTAATTACTAAACACATACCTTTTTGCTTATTGTGATTCTGCATGATAAAATCTACATCTCTCTCTCTCTCTCTTAAGATGCTATCACTTTCAGACATACTGTAGAAATCTTTCTCCTGAGTTATGTAATGCATTCCATTTGGAGATACGTCTGGCTCCTCACTCTTCAAATGTTCTGCCTCTTCATTTAAACTGTTGCACTGGTATTTTAATATTTATTTAATTATTGGGTTTTGTTGGAACTAAGCATTGCTAGGTTTCTTGATCAGTCTGTTATGTCAGCAACTAATTAAATTAATTGTTTTTATAAATATGCATTTAGTGTAAATAGAAACTGTCCCCTTTATAATCATATACTCTTGGAAAAGAGCATGTCCACTTTTCCTTTCTTTTCAAGGATTAAAGACTCTTTAAAAAGATGCAGATGGAAAGTAGTAGAGTGAAGAATACCTGACAAAGTTTCTTTTAGTATATTTTTCTTACTTTAAAAAACTTCTACATCATTGTAATTGTGTGTTTAATTCTCTGTCTTCTTCTCTTTCAAAGTTACATTGTTAGACAATTGTTTTTTGAAAGGAAATGAACAAAGGAATGGATCCAACAGGTATGCTTGTAGCAGCATGGTGTTCTGTCCCAGCCTATGGCCATCCTTGTTAAATGCATAAGGACAAAACCCCTTTTGAGAAATAGGCTGGAGACTCAGAAGAAAACAAAACCTCTTTTAATATTGGTAACAAACCTGCCAAAAACAAAAGCAACGAAACACAATCCAAATGGAGGGAATTGTCCACATGAAACACAATGCAAAACAGGGGCTTACCGGAAATACCAACAGAACATGATCCCATGAAGTACTTTGCAACGGTTGCCTTCAGCAACCAGCACGGCCCACACCTTCCCTTTTTAATAAAAAGCCCCAAGGCGTGGCTTCTCAATGCCTTCTCCTCCTCCCTTGGAGTTGCCGTATTGTCTCCCTCTGACCTATTCTAGTTAACTGCCTTCGTTTACGAGCGTCTATAATGACTTCCAGCTGTGAGTCCTCAGAGTCTGACTCATCTTCCCCACACAGCTGAGTCTCATCCGGAGCATGATTGGAGAGGCCAGACTCTTCATCCAATTGTGAGTCCTGTAACTCATTAGTGCCTTCCTCCTACTCTGATGGCTCTCCAAATCCCTCCTCCTCCTCCTCTGATTCCCCGGACTCAGCTGCCAGGTCCACTGGCTGGCACAGACTCACAACACATGGTGGCTTTTTTAAAGTAAGAAAAATATACCCTTTGCTCCAATAAATAAACAACTTTCCTTCCCTAATATTGCGGAAGGAATTTAATTTCTTCTACGAATCATCATGAATGGGATGAATTAAGGATAGCCAGAATTATTACTGCTATTTCAGTTGTTCCTCATGTTTTAACTACATACCATTCTCAACATTTGCCAGTCGGTGTAGAAGTGGCAACCAGACAAGACATTGTGGTGGAGGATCAGACATAAGAGTATCCAAAAAAGCATTCAGTGTAACTTTTTTCTGTTAACATAAACAAAGCAAGAAAAATTTTTTAGCAAATAATGGGATGAGTTTAGTTTTCTCAGCAGAAAAATACACTGTATTTGTAGATGAGAAAAGCAAGCAATTAAATTATAATTCACTTATGATATTGTTTAAGGTAACTTAAAACCCAGGAGTCCCTTTTAAGAAGACATCACTAATGTTGTGGGTTCACAGCCAACCTATAAACCACATAATTGATCAAAGAAATAATTCAATAATTACTGTTATGATTTCCCTCATGATACATAATAGCAGCATTCTTTTTCTTTTCAACACCTGAACTGAATACTTCTCAGTGATTGTGTTCCCTTTGTATTCCTGCTCCATCATCCTACTATAAAGGACATCCTACTATTGTTTCCTTCTGAATGTGCCTTCTCTATAGTATTGAGAAGATTTGGTGGGATCAGAGGTGACTGAAAAGGGGAAAAGGATGTATATAAAATAGGTATATTAAGATGTAAGAATTAAAAAACATAGTTTTACTGAGTAGTTTCGAATCTTCTATGATGGCCACAATATTGGCTATCTCTATGGAGATAACACTTTCATATTTCAGAATATGGTATCATATCACCAACAACATTTATCTGAGAACAGTAACAATATTTATCTGAGAATAGTATCGAGATGAAATATCAAATAATTTGGTTGCAAATAAGGCTACAGAATTCTAGATTTGCTTAAGGCAAGAAGAAAAAAGGAAGAAGGGATAGGGAACTCATTTTTCTTATCCAATTATTCATGTACATACGTTTTTTTCTCTCCAGCAGGAGAGAAGATAATCAAACTCATTCTGCGGCTTTCATCAAATTCACAGCATCTCACAGGTCCATTTTAGGATATTTTATTTTAAATAGGGAGGGCATTTATATATATTCCATGCCATACCTATATGAAATTCTAATACATTACCATTCCCGATTGCAAGTGCAGAAGATTGATCCTATTTAAAATTAAGTAAAATATAATTGGGTTTTGACACTGTATGCCAGTATGAGTATGATGAAAAGCAAGAAATCATAAATAACATTTTATTTACCTGTTGAGAAAAACAAGACTTTGCAGATTGTTCTGTATAACCAAAAGAAGGACCTTCAAAGACTGCAGTGGGCAGTTTAAGAACTTCTCGCAAAAACATGTCATACTTTCCATACACCATTATCCCACCAGTGTCTGAAATCATTGAGAATATATCTGATGGAGAAAAAAAGTGAAAACTTTGAAATGAAAAGCTATGAACTACAAACTGTAAACATATTCTAAGTGATGACTTACATTCTCAATATGTAGCACCACACTGCCATCACTATGGTAAATCACACAGAACTATAAATCGCTACCAGAAATGACCTCAATGCAAGTATAGAACTGTCTTTATTAGGAACAATTAAAAGTATTGGGTAAATAGTCTTCAGGTTCAAAGTTAAAATAATAATTAACAAAAATTCATTGTTTAAGCTCTGAGTATAATGAGGTTTCTCAAATATACATTGTTTCTAAAGGACTGAGGCAGCCAATGTTTATTTTTCAAAAATAAAAGTAAAACAATAAAAAATGTTATCAAAAGATATGGGGGGGAGGCATACTTTTAAATAGACATGCATAAAAATGGATTATAAATCCATTTTGCACTTAATGTCTAATGTTTAATTACTTTGTTGTATAATTCAAGATGTATTTGTATGGCGAGCAGTATAGACATATATTCATAAACAAATGGCTAATATAACTAAAACAGAATACCACTTTCAACACTTGTTATCTCTTTTCTTCCTAAGATCTTGCTTGAAGATGTCTTCAGGGAAACTCAGTCTTTTTTTGGGGGGGCGGGGGGTCAGTTATTTTAGTAGTTGTTTAATTTTACTTCTGTTTCTCATAATGTAGCAGCATGTGACTATAGTTTTGGTCTCAATGTTTTCTCAAAATATTATTAAACAACACATTTTTCATTTTAGCCTGTGTGTTCCTTGCGTTGCTGTATGATAATATTTTTTAGTTTGCAGAATGATAGCAATAAACCAGAAGATAGTTGTTTACAGAATGATAAAATAAAATACAGAAAACCGATGGCAAAAAAGTGGTCCATCCAATCTGCCTTTGAGTTTGTTTTTTTTAATGTGTTTATTATTTTAATTATTATTTTTATATATTATTTATTTTTGTTTTATTTTTAAAATTTTATCAGATGATGGACATGTGTTTATCCCAAGGGTGTTTAAACTGACTCACTACATCTGCTGGATATATTCTGAGTTTCTTGATCTGGTCAGAGCAAATAAGGTCCTGTTTAAATATAGAATTAATGAGTAAATAGACAGGTGACTAGTAATATATATTTGATATTAGAGAACTGATTTTAAAATAAAATATGCAATGTTTTATATAGGGTAATTCTATACCAGTCATTATATTATGCTTGTGTACTCTCTATCAGAATGTTTTACTGAATTTGTTATTTAAAAGCAGTATTTTAATTGCAATTGCAACCTGATTAAGCAAATTTGATTAATCTAATAACCAAATTGGCCTATTTTTCAAAGGTGTTGTTGATTGCTTTTCTCTTTGCTTTTGGACTCAAAGAAAAACCAATCCTATAAAACAGCAGTCCCCAATCTTTCCAGCTCCGTGGACTGGCAGCGGCAGAGGGCAGTGGTGTAGGGGGGAGAGAATGGTTTCATGCATGTAACCTAATCCCACACACGCACAAATATAGGTTTGCACAGTTTGCGCAGGCGGTTTCCAACAGGACACAGACTGGTAGTGGTCTGCGGATTGGGAGTTGGGGACCCCTGCTATAAAACATTTAACAAATATTTTATAGGTAATTAATATAGAGTCCTCAATTTTTTATCTTTTTATCAAATATTAATTTGATGGCCAATAAAATGATATGACATTGCATAAGCTGGGGAATTTTGCTCATCTGACTACACTGAGTAACCAAGGAGATATTTTTTACTCCTCAAACACTGGGGTGGGTGTGGGGGGGTGATCCTATTAAGCAAATTTTATAGTATTTTTGCATGTTTTTAACATAAAAACTAGTCAGGAAAATAAATGGCAAATTATGCATTTTACTGGACACATAATTTATTTGATCAATTGCAACATGATTATTTTTAATTCAAAAATTCTAAAAGAAGTCACATACATCTAGCCCAGATGACAGACATTAACAACATTAACAACACTTTTGTTGTTGTTAATTTTTTATGAAGTCCCTACACAAATTAGTTCAAGAATATTTTGCTGATTTTGATTAATGTTATTATATTAAAAACCAAACATATATTGTTCCCTAATTCTTACAAACTATTTTATTAAAATTCATAGAGAGACTTACATCTTAATTTATCCATAATCTTTCCTCCACAAAGTGTTGCCAAGGCCATTTTGACAGCAAACACAGATATTTTTCCATGTCCTTCTCTAAAACATAAAACATAAAATAATCTTTGCATAGTTATTGAATAACATAGCATAAATCTCTTAGGCTTCCATGTTTTTTTTTTCAAATCTGAGGCTTTGATCCATAATCAATTGAGAATTTGGAACAATTTCCCTTCTAAGTAAAAATGGAGATTCTTGACTCTGTCAATTCTTGATTTTCTCCATTTCTCGTTTTTCCAGTTTCATTTTCCCCTCTATATTTCTTCATTAATTTGTGAATATTTCTGCAGTCTATGTAAAATTAATACATATGCAAGTATTTTCCCATAATAGAATGGATTTTTATATTTTTACTCATGTATGCATTTTTGTCTAATATATACACTGTAAACTATTTAAGGTGTACAAATTACAAAATTGCAAAATATTCTGAAAGATCATTATATTTCAGTTCAATTATGAATTTAAGAAATAAACACTGAATTAATTCATCTTTTATCCTTGATTCTTTTTTTAATGTATATGATTTGCTAGGAAGTATTTTGCTGATGGCAAGGGCCATTTTCAAGTTAAACTTGGGCTTTATGATTTCAGAACTGAGAAATTAGCCACTGCTAATTTGCATAGCATAACATGACATCAACAAACAGTTAAATTAATTCAGTCAGGAAATTGGCGTCTTCAGTTTGAATCTAAACCACAGATGTCAAAAGTGCTTTTATGCAAAACACTTTGGCGGATGAAGTAAAGACCTTGAGACACTTCTATACAATATGAAAGGCTTTGTTGATGTTACCTTTGATTACATTTTTTAGGACTCAGTATGTTGTACTGATCTGTTTGGTTGATTTGTGCTTCAGTGTATTGTGCAGCCCCCAAGAGTTTAATTCAATAATCAGATTATGTGTAATGGAAATATGGAGACAAGAACATTAGCTAAATTGTGAGAACGTTTCTCCCTTGTTGTAATTGCTGCTTGTTGTACCATACTGCCCAATGAAAACTTCTTGAGAACCTCAAAATTTATGCATTTTTTGTAGCAGTTAGGTTAGTTCTATTCAAAGCATTTCCCATTGTGGACTTCAGATATTTTTTAAATTCATATATAAGAAATAAGTCTTCATTTAGTATCATTTGGTCCGTTGATGACTCCATGGACATATTCATGTAGTTTTCCTGGCAACATACAGAATTAGTTGGCCGTTGCCTTTTTCCAGGAGTTTTTTTTTCAACTTTCAATTCTAGCCTGAGATCTTTCAGCCAGCTCCTAACTAAGTCTGAACTGCTTATCTTTGTCAGCCTAGGACAGTAGATACTTAATAATAGTAGTACAGCACTTTTCTTCATGAAAATGTACTTGGATATTTTTGAGATGAGGTGTTTGTTTTGTAAAGAAAAGATTTATAGAAGGACAGGACTCTGCTTTAGCAGCAAATTCATCTATAAATTTTCCAAGGTGGACATAAATATCCCCAATTCTAGCATACATTGATCATTGTTTTATGGCAGAGATTAGATACTAAAGAGAAGCGTAAGTGTTTTGGGGACAGATGAATTATGAAAAAGTGTAAATCCTCTATAACGCTCTAGATCTTTGATTTCCAGGGATGAAATATTTTATTTTACAACATTTACTTGAGATTAAATACAATTTGGTATCAGGAAAGAATGAGTTGTGCAGTTATTCAAAGCCCCTCCTCTCAAATTTACTGTCTGCTTTCTGCTTGAAAGTGTTTATGTGTGCATGGTTGTAGATATGCTTATGTATGCTTGGACCACATGCTGCTATAAACATTGTTAGATGAAAATGTTAGGACATTTTACATTGTTACAATTGATTTGCTACTTTTGCCTTATCTTTAATCCCTTAATGAAAGCTTTTACAAATTCCAAGTCTTCTGTCTGGACACTTCAGTACTGCAATTTGCACAATTAAATGAATTGCTATACTTGAGCAAACTGGAAACACGCTTACATTCTAGTTCAATTATTCAGCTAAGAAAAACCTACGTAGCATTCACTGAGCATATTCTACAGACTTAATTTCAATGTTCTTCTTTATTTAAAAAAACACTGTTTCACATCTTTCTTGGTTTATTGAACAATAGAAAAATGTACATCATAATGATCTCATTTTCACAGCTATGATTTTGTGAGAGTGACTTGGCAGTGAGCAACAGTGTACGTGTCCAAGCATTTGCAATTAGTTTCCTTCCTGTTTTTGACTCCTGTTAGAGTCAAAAATTCAGGGTCTGCATATATTAAAAAGACCTTGCCTCTTACTGTACAGCCTTTTAAAAATCCTGAAGGCCATATTCCTGCAGCCTACTGACAATTTCTCCTTGGGGAGGGGAAGGGAGATATTTGGATGCAAACATACAGCGCCTCTGCTGCTTCTTCATGTGGAATAGTTGCTCAGCTGTTTCCATGGTGACTAAGCTATACTAGTTGATCTGGCTCAGGAAAGTACACAAGTACCAAGTGAAAGGTCCATCAAATGCATATTGGAGAGGACACAAGAGGGTGATAGGCAAATGGGAAGATAAATAAACTCATCAGAATGTTCTTTAATTGTGTTGATTTCCAACCAGTACAGTTCCAAAATAAAATGCAGTTAAAGCAGTAATGCAGTAATAGATAATTTGCAACTCGCACAGAACAGAAGTCAGTCAGTCCAGTTTGTAATTCCAGGCTATTCAAAAGCTTTTAAGAATGACTCCTGAACGTGTATTTTCCAATTCTTTGAAGAAAATGAGATTGAGGGTAATATAGAAATGCGTAATTTTCAGTTTTGTATAAGTTCAACTTTTTTCTGAAATAGTATTTTGCTCAAGAGCTAATGTTTTCCTACAACATACAGAAAAACAGCATTCATTATTATTAAAGGGACTTACGGATCAAAAGCTGCCAGCAAAAAGTTGAGCAATAAACCGATAGATTGTTCGACGATAATCTGGTGGGTTGTTGGCATACGTTTGTTGAGTTGGTAAAAAATAGTGGAAAGCACAGCTTCTAGTCGAGCCACATTCAGCTCTATAGTTGGGTCTAGGTTGTTCAAAGAGTTTTCCCGCAATGCTTCTATAACATTCCAAATGTCCACCAGATGCACTATGTATAAATTAAAAAACAATAGTTATGTATATTTGGAAAAAAATATATCATGATACAGTATTTTTAAGTAATACTCATATATTCACAGAAAACCATAAGAAATGCTAGACTTTACATAGCTCATTCATCCAAAAGTTTAATTAATGGCTCAAGAACTTTAAGATTTATTTTGTTATAATATGTAAACTTCAGAATTCTAAGTTATAGAGTTATAGAACTACACTAAGATGGGAATCTTTTGGTTCTTGTGCTTCTGTCTTGTTCCTCTGTGGCTGGAAACTCAGATTATGCAGATTCTTTTGCTCCTGGCTAGGTCTTGACTGTTCCTTCTTCCTGAATTCTTCTGATCTAATGAAGTTCTCTTGGGCTTACTATTTTATGATGGATTGATTACCATGTCCTTGTTTTGGATTTTCTGATTTCCCTCCTAGGTACCTTTAGTTCAAGACTGATTTTGCATTGTTTATTATCTGTATAATATTTAATTCAGTTCTTAGATATATCCTACTGAGTGATATCCAGATTTAGTGTAAATAAATACCAGCTTTATAAACATTAGCCTGAAGTCAGTAATAACTGTAAAGTGTAGAGCTCTTATAAATTTATGATTAGGAAGCAATTATATTATTTTTACTTTTAATTAAAATAATAGAATAAAATAGAACAGAACAGAATAGAACAACAGAGTTGGAAAGGACTTTGGAGGTCTTCTAGTCCAACCTCCTGCTCAGGCAGGAAACCCTATGCCATTTAAAACAAATGGTTGTCCAATCTCTTCTTAAAAACTTCCAGTATAGGAGCATTCACAACTTCTGGAGGCAAATTGTTCCACTGATTAATTGTTCTGTCAGGAAATTTCTTCTTAGTTCTAGGTTGCTTCTCTCCTTGATCAGTTTCCATCCATTGCTTCTTGTCCTGCCCTCAGGTGCTTTGGGCACCTGATAATTAAATGTAAATGAAATGAAATTTCAGTTTTATCTTGGCTCCTCCTAATATTTTTTGCTTCCAGGACATCATATTGTGACTTAGCATCATGTGTGAAATTCTTCCATTAATTACAATTAAGATAAGAATGGAGATAGTTCAGCTACGAAGCACCTGATCTTGGACAACTAAGACAGAGCCATTTTTTCATATCAAATGTCAGAGGAACCTTCATTATGAGATCTTGCTACTAGGAAAAAACAGCCCCAACATAAACTAGCTTTCCTTTGACCTTAGTAAACCACTGCCTGATAGGATACTAGACTATACTAACATGGTAAACAGAGGTGGGCCATTTCTGCTCCCACCAGGTAGTCAGTCAGCTGATATGGAGTGAGAACCCAGTTATTTTAATTGTTTATCAAATACATATTCCACATTTTAATTGCTAAAAACTATTCCAAAGAAGATTAAAATTCTGGTCACTTTGTATGCTCTGAGTTAGGAATCCTGGCACCGATAGAAAAAATTCTTTTGTCCTCCGCCCTTTTGTCCTAGGCATATGGCCATCAGTTGCAAAAAAATATTGTATCTCATAAAATGTAGCAGATGACAAGGCTGAGCCCGAGGATGGGATCACACGCATCGTAAGTCTGGAATCCCTGTGCCTCCAAAAGAAGCCTCAGTCCAGACTCCCTTGAAGTCCGTTGCCAGTTTGCCTGGACCATTAATAGATCAGATTCTTGTGTATAGATTGCAGTACAGTACACCTGACATAAAATTATGATTAAGATTTTTTTTACAAAAATATTTTTAAAAGTATCCAAATATTTTTTCAGGTATAATTTGATTTTAGATTATAATTTCTTTCACTTAAAACCACATGAACTTTTTGCACAGGCTTATTGGGGACAAGCTGATGGTAGCAAAGTTTGGAAAACAGAAATGGAAAAGCTAGTTGAAATTAGAACTGAGCCATAATGCTTTCCTCTTTGTACACATTTTAAAGGGCTTAAGATTTTATGAGAAGCAGTATGGATATCTCGAGGGAATGATTTCCAGCAATGTTATTGTCTATGAAGCTTGATACTATTAAATTTCTTTCTCCACTTTGCACTCATAGGGTACATATAGGGACAGGAAGGACTGGTTTCACCTCAGTTTGGTTTTGTGATGCCACATAACCAATGAGATTTGGCTTTGTGATAGTGGCTGAATCCAAAATAAAGCCATTCTTCTTGTCCTTTTTTCGACTAATAAAAAATAGAGGAAAAAATAATTTAACTGCCAACCGTCTTCATTATGCTCTATAAAAAAGTGAAAGGATATGCATGTGATACATCTTGGCTCTCTGTTATTTTGTTTTAAGTTTGTTAAAGTGGTTTTAGGAAAAATAATATAGTTTAAAGCTAGTACTGTGATGCTGACAGTAGTTTTGATAGAGTTTGAAATATGCCATTTGGAATTAATCATTTTATGAAGAACCATAGATTTATTAAGCATTAGCCGTAGCAAAGGAATATTATTTATGATGGAAAGACAGTGTCATGCCAGATTTATGATCTTGGACTGGTGATATATGTTTACTCTCTGCTTGTGAATGGACTTTTTTTAATGCAATGGAAAAACTGATCAATATTATTCTGTGTGGTCAGTGTTTAATGTTCAGTCAATCAAATCTTTATTGCAATCATGTTTAATGTTGTGTTTAAAAACTGAGCTGTTTTGTACGAGGGCATATTTTTTTTTTAAAAAAATTAAATTTTATTTTCTCTTTTCACCATACACCATACACCAAAACAAACTTAAAATACATAAACATAAATCTTTCTTTTAACACAACAGTGCTATACATTTTAACTATTCTTTACATCTTATTTACATTTTTTTCATCAATATTTATATCTTTTTCTTTCTCTGTTCTAGCCAATTATAATATTTATTCCAAATTTCATAAAATTCTGTCGCCTCCTTGTCTTTTAATTCTAACATAAGTTTATTCATTTCTGTGCATTCCAAGATTTTGTACATAATCATGTCTGCTGTGGTAAATATATGCAATGCAGAATAAAATAAGATTGTTCATATCACATTGTCTTTTTTAATGACCTTTTAATGACCTTTCTGCCTTATCTGTTTTTGGTTTTATTTTTTTGAAATCTTTTTTTCTTTGTTTATATAATAAAGCAAAAAAATATATAGGAAGGTGAGATAACAATACCAGATTATTGGCTGTGTGCTAAATAAAAGTTGCACATGCATCTACAAATGATATATAGTTGTAATCATATTTTATATATCTATTATAGTTCTCTCAACTGCAAGAAAATCTTCAAGGACAAAACAATAAAGCACTACACAGAAAAGTATTAGAAGAAGCAATTGATGGCTGTTTAAAATATCTCCAAAACTGTCTGTCTATCAGAAGCTGTAGAAGTATTACAAAGATAAAACTATTAAAAGAGTATTTCAGCATGACAGGGAAAAGCAGAGAAGCTAAATTATTATTATTATTGCATCAGTCATTGGAAATTATTAATGTGCCAATTTATTAATTAATAAGATAACAACTTGCTATGTTTTTTCTTCAAATAGCTAATGGAATTTTCCCTCTGTTATCCACAGCTTAACCCAACTAAGATTTTTTTAACTTTAGTAATATAGCAACCTAATGTATCCCTATACTTCAGGCCAAGGGACTACTTCTTTTCAGGGAATGTAACTGAAAAGTATCTTTCACTGGTGTCTGTCTGATTTGTCTATCCGTCCATCTGTTTATGTAGCATCTATCATTGTTTCCTACGCTGAAGATACCCTGATTAAAAGTGGTTTCCTTATTACAGAAAGAAATATCAACATGGAATTTTGGCTATCCAAAGGGTAGCCAAAAGGAATAGTAGAACTAGGAGAGACCAGGAAGTTGCAAACCAGTTTTACATCAAAGCTAAACAGATATAAAGAATGCAGTATAAAGAAACTGAACACACTGTCTCTGTCAAAATGAATAGAATAGCTAGGCTTGCTAAGGAAATAGTAAGTAGAAATAGCTTCAAATTTCATATGAAAAGAGGAGCCCGGAATCGTAGATAATAAATTTTATTTCATTTCCTGAAGATGAGGTAATACAGATTCTATTTCTAATGGGAAAAGACCAATTACTAACCACTAGATGGCAGTGGGCATATTTTAGAAAACAGCATATATTTGTATTCTTATACATTAACCACATTAGCTTTCTAACAAATTAGCAGAAATAAAGATTTCTGCTGTTTCCTTAAAATAATTTATATCCATGTATCTGAATGAACATTGCAAAGGTTTGATTACCTAGCTAGTGATACCATTTTTCACTGCCCTGACTTACAAATTATGAGCTAAAAGAAGAAACAAAAAACATTTCATTGAGAAGTATGCTAAGGCATACATTACATTACCAGGAATCATTTGTAACATTAAACTGGCCTACTCTACAAGATTATAAAGATTACCAGGATCATGTATACAAAAGATGTCCAAGGGCATATGCAGAGGAGGCTAATTTAAGATGATATCAGTGACGATGGTTCAATGGGTAAATGGCTTTTCCAGCTGTATGATTCTATGTCTCTCTTAATACAAATACATTGACAACTTTTTCAGAAGTGGTTTGTTATTGCCTTATTACTAGATTAAAAGAAAGTGAGAGTGGCCCAAACTCATTAATCTGATTTTTGTGCCCAAGGTAAAACTAGAATTCATGTTTCTCTGCTCCTAATCCAGCACCTTAATCAATAGACCAAATTGGCTCTCTTTGTAAATCTAGCCAATCTATGTTAACAACTATACTAGTTTAAAAGACACAATTGAATTATATGATGGAAATAATCTTCCTTACCAAGAATCTTTTATTCCTACTTTTGTAATAATCTGTAATAAGGCCTGTTTCCATAGTGCCAGTTCAATACTTGGAAAAGTTATATCTGTTACCTGTTTATTTACATCTTTGTAATGTTTCTATAGGTAATTAGAAATGAAATTATAACATAGCCATAAGGCTTGACTCTACTATTTTGTATTGGGTTATCCTTATTATA